CTTCCAGATAACTTACCCACCCATCCACACACACACATTTAAGAACCCTGAAAGGAATATTTAATAACTCTCAGTTTATCTCCCACTCATTGTAGGGGACAGGTGCCTAATGATTTCCAAACTAAGTACAGTTCAGAAGCAAATAAAATGCAATGAAGAATAAATAGAATTATCGTGACAGCAAGCATAAGTCTCATCATGAAATTTTACCTTGAAAACCATGTATGGCTCATTTATCTCAATATCAAATTCATCTGAACCATTGAGATGCTTGGATAGTACATCAATTGGCTTAATACGCCCTTCACGCAATCTGATCTCAGACCTGACTTTGCTTTGATCAAAGTGAAACTGTACGGAGAACACGTAGACTTGTCAAATTTCCAGGTAAAACAAAATGACAACAAACAAAATCATGTAGACAAGAGCATCATAACAGAAAAATGTATAAAAGGTAGGCAAAAAATATAATGTTTATTGATTAAATCCAGCACCATACCTCTTCTTCTTTTTTCTCCCAGTCTTGGTACTCAGCCCGAGCACGTTCTCTGGCTAGCAGTGCCTACATAAAGAAATGAAAGTTACTTAACAAAACAGCAAACAAGGCAAGAAGCTAAATTAAAAATATCACTCCAAATGGCAAAATGCACTCCAACTTTCTCCACTAAGAACTTGAACGGAAAAATTCATGCCATATCAGGCAATAAACTTACCATTTCTTCCTCATGTTGTGCTTTTTCAAGTGCTCTTTCTTCCCTTCTTTTCTTGACCTTTTCAACCTGAGCCTGCAAGATGAATTTAAACAAATATTAAAATTCTAATAAATTTAAACCAGAAAATAGTAAATCAACAAAAATCCACAAAGAAAAATCCTGAGTTTTTGTCATAGACCAGGACATTAATTTATTTTGCAACCCCAGGCTAAATCATATTGGTCGTGGGATTTATTAAAAATAGTAGCGAAGTCTATGGACTGTATTTATTCACTATAAAAAGATAAGTCTTTATTAAAATTCTAAGTCATTTAGTTTCTATTTTCTTTTCTTATTTAGCAAACTGCTTTAGCACATGTTCCACCAAAAAACTTAATTAGCACATGGGTTACTGACTAATGGCCCTAATGGGCTTTCTAGTCTTCTTGTTTTTAGCTAACTTCTTTAGCACATGCTCCATCAAAAAACCTCTTTAGCACGTAGATAATGGGTTTTCTACAGTATTGTTCTTGTTCTTTTTCTCATTATTGTCTTCTTCTTCTTCTTCTTGCTTTTTTTTATGGCATATCAGAAAGTTATCTAGAGTCAATAAACTATATGTTAAAATATGTATATAGGTATATTATACTGACACACTCTAACAGTCAGGTAACAATGGATGACTATAATCTCGGGGACATGGTAAAAATAACCATAGTCATAGTCTAAGACAACTTGCCATACTTCCAACTCTCCTTCCACAATAAATGTGTCATCATATACATAAATTACAGTCACCAAACATAAAGACTAGCCTAGACAAAAGGAAAGAGCCTTAGTCAGACATGCTTTGCTGCTGGGGTTTAGTTCCCATTTCATTCTTAACAATAAGGCCCGTGAACAACATATAGGAATGTAATTCTCTCTCCTATACCTCATGAAGACTATGATTCGATTTGATGTCCCTATAGTGCAACGCACAGACTTCAGTAGCTAAGCTTGTTAGTTCCTTGTATTATATATTCCATCTTTTATTGCTACAACAACTTACGTTGATCTTACAGACATGTCCAGAGACTTTCCAAAACTCAATAAAAATTATTTCCGCAACCTCAAATAAAAAACTATATCAGACATGTCCTCTAACTTATGTATCAGGCATTTTAACTGATTCAAACAAAAACTTTAATCTTACATAATGCCTTATATAAGACCAGTAAAGCCATTGGATACAAGAAAGCAAAAAGACAACAACTAGAAAAGAAACAACAAAGAAACAATGTTGGGCTAGAACTATGTACCATTCTTTCTCTCTGTCTTTGTTTCTCAGCCTTAACTGAAAACACGTCAAGGGGAACACCATTGGTAACATCACGCTCAATCTTCTTTCGCCACACAAATCTGCAAGCAGAACAGAATGAATTCATATATAGACCTTACAAACAATAAAGCATCCCTAACTTACACATCTGTCAGACTGTAAGCCATCATATACCAGACAGATAGTTTAGCAATCGGACACGCAATTAATACTAAGCAACTGTAGCTGTATTCAAAACATTCACATCCGAAACTTAGTAAATTCAAACAAAACACAATGAAACACAATAATGAAAAATGCTTCTATCAAAGTGCAACAAATTCAACATTTGAAATTGGAAGGCTAAAAACTCTATCAGAAAACTTCCTCATATAAATCCCAAAACACAAAAACAAAAACAAGAACTTACATTTCATTGAGATTGGAATCACCAAAGGGATTCGAATCATTTGAATAACCTGAAACGGTCTTAGACTTGATCTTCTTGGCTACTCGAGTTGCCTATTCAATCAAAAGGAAGCGCACCATACTATCAATAACAATTCAAATTTTAAAATAATAATAATAAATAAAAACCCTAACAGACGAAATAAGAACCTTCTTCTGCGCCTTCTTAGACAAGTACTCAGCGATTTGATCCTCAGTAACGTTCTTCGACCTCTTCTTCTTGCGGTCACGCTCTTCAGTCTCATCGCTGTCGTACGACTCGTCGTCGGAAGAGTCCTTCCGGCGCCCGCTGCGGCGGCTGCTATTTCTGCTACGGCTTCGTTCCTTGCGCTTACCGGAACTCCTCGGAGGAGAAGAGTCGCGGCTGTCAGAGGCATCGGACTCGGAATACGACTCGGACTCGGAATCAGACTCGGAATCGTCGGATCTTCTTCTGCGTCGACTCTTGGAAGACGACGATGCGTCCTTTTTGCTTTTGCTGCGTCCGTGAGTACCCATACTTGGCGGTAATGATTTTTAGAGAGTTTGGGTTTATGTAGCGAATGGATATACGACCAATATTATGGCTAGTTAACCGATTGAAATCATGGTGTGTTTTATAATGAATGAGGACAGAATTTTAATTATGAGATTTTTTGTGTTTATTTACATCGAGAAATTAAAAAGTAAGTGGGTCTCACACAAAATTAGAAATTGAATTCCTGATTTTGGACTGATATGTTTACTAAGTGGATTAGGAGGAATTGAATTTATAGTAAATTGAATTGAGAAGAATTAGATTTTGAATCCCTATTGAAGTTGTTTACTAAACCATATGGATTGAGGAGAGTTATATTCCGGATTTCTATTGAAGTTATTTACTAAACCATATGGAAGTGGAGTAATAATGGTACTAATTACTAAAATGTCCTCGTTGTTGGGTTAAAGTAGGTGGCAACTTTTGAATTTTTAAAATTGTGTGAGGATATAATGGATAAAAAAAATGAATTCCTAATGGGCTAATTCTCCAAGAATTAGAATACCACTTCCCACTCAATAATTGAATTCTTCCAAAATCAAAGAGTTTAATGCCTAATTTTGTATGGGCCCCACTTACTTTTCAATTTCCAATTCGAATTCGAATTCCTAATTAATAAACACACCAAAAAATAAGGAGTTCCTCTTAAGAATACTATTGTGTTTAGAGGAATTAAAATGTGTGTGGGACACACACAAAATTAGGAATTCAACTCCTAATTTTGGAGGAATTAGACTTTTGGGTGGGAGGTGATATTCTAATTTCTCGATAATTAACTCATTAGGAATTCATATTTTTTATCCATTATATCCTCACATAATTTTTAAAATTTCAAATTTATCATCTACTTTAACCCAACGAAGGCATTTTAATAATCAATTTAATTTAAATTCCAATTTATGAGAATTTAGTAAATAACTTATAAGGAATTAGTATTACTCCTACCATAATTCCATATGATTTAGTAAACAACTTCAATATGACTCCGGATTTTAAATCTCTTCAATCCAACTCCTTTTCAATTCAATTCCTCTTAATGTGATTACGGATTAATAAATATGTCATTAGAGTCTATGTTGAATTTAAAATATTTCTAAAGCCCAATCCATTTATAGAGGCCCAATACTGACCCATCTTTATTATTATATTTTTAAATAAAAGGAGGGAAAATGGTGCCTCAAGAAGTGTGATTTGCTTTTGGATTTCAAAGGTCTTGCCGCTAATTTTAATTTTATATACATAACTAGAGGAATGCGTGGAAGGGGAAATTTTGTATGATTAAACATCTTGACATGTTTATTATTATTATGTTAAGTTGTCATACTGTGAATTTATATTCAAATAATAATTAATCTCTTAGATAAAATAAAAACAAAAATAATTGATATCAACAATGGTCCTAGTCAACATTTCATACATTTTTAGTTTCTGCTTTGCCCTTTAGAGAGTGAAGAGCCTCCCTAACTAGAATTGGAGCTTGATATGGAGGCTACACTACACGTCTCTAGCTCAAAGCCTTTCGTGTGGCTTTTGGAGCTGCATTCCCTCTTGTTGTAGTCTAGTTGAAGGAGTTGCTTCATTCCTTCATGTTGTAGTCTACACAAAGCAAGGGCAAAACAAAAAAGAAGAGAGAGATACGTCAAGCAAAATAGCCAACGTTGCTTGAAAATCCTGAGCTCTGCTCATTTGAGGCTTATGAATCTACAACCAGAAGTTTTCAAAGCCCCTTTGTGTCTTCTGTGTCAGTCGATAAGCTTATGCAACAGAAAATTTAAATCAAAACATGCCAAAATACTAAAAAAATTTGGTTCCAAAACCCCAAAATATTAAGTTCCAAAACTTTATCACTTCTATCGTTACTACTAGCAAGGAAACGTTTAATGTTCTATAAAAGAAAGAAATTACTCTGCTGTGAGAAGAAAACTAAAAAACATTGTGATGGGCCAATTAAATATCAAAAATTATCTCCTGAAGCTTGAGCAGCAACAAAACCTCTAACCATGCCCATCTGCAGTTGCGTTTTTCAGTTGACCGCGACCTCAGCAGAAAGAAAACTGGGATGAATGGCATCTTTGTTAGACACTTTAGTCTTGGAGATCTTGAGCACCTGAACAGCTTCTCCCACTTTGGCAGCCAAAGAATCTGGTGACTCCAATAAAAGCAGCAATTCTGAGTTGTCCATCTCCAGCAGCATCCCTGTAATTTTTGAGGCAAGGTCGGGCTGCAAGTGAAAATGCTAAGTTTAAGTTGGTGTCAATAGCCTTATGGATGGAGCAATAAATCTGAAACTTACATATTCCACAGATGAGAAAATAAATAATTAAACATCAATGTGGTAAAAGTATCACCTTATGTTTATGGACGAGTGGGTAGAGATGCTCGCCAAGTATCTGTTTCTGCTGCTCAGGAGAAGCAGCAGCAAGCATGCTACTCAGCATCTCTGGTCCTTGAGACCCACCTCCAACAGAATTGGAAGCATTAGTTGAGACTCCTGATCCTTTGTTCACGTCGCGTTGGCGACCATTAGGAACATACTTAGCCTGCCCCGTCCGCTGAAATGCATGGATTGCACGGATTAGAACCTCTACAGTAATAGGCAGAGAGGATGGAAATATTATTCATTTCATTCCTAATCCTCCCAATACTATTAAATTTGTAGGTTTCTAATCTTTCTTTCTTTTTTTTCTATTTGCTGGTCATATACAATACAAGACCTGACCATCAAGTAGTACATGTGGTGAGCAATGAGTGACAAAAGCTTGTTAGAAAAAGAAAGCAAACCTGCTGATTGTTTGAATCTTTTGCTGAGTGTGACAGCTGAGTGGACTGTTGTAAATGTGGCATATATGCACTTCCCTGAGGAAGTATATGGCCGTTCATTCTTCCCCTGTTTTGCCTATGTTGTCTTGGCATCTGTGGATGAGTTTTTTAGTAGCATAAGCACTTGGCCATAATAATTCTCAAATTTTTCCAGAAACACAATTTATTCTGCATGAATGTGTCAAAAAAAAACAGATTGCAATAAAATGTGGTTCGCAGATGACCTAAAATAACTGGAAATAAGCAGAATGGTACTCACAACAGAAACCGGTGGTGGTTGATAGGCTGGCCCAGACGTAGGTGCAAAGCCGTTGGCTCTCCATCCTGGCCTCAATCCCAAAGGCTGATACATCAGTCCCGGACGAGGAGGTACTTGTGGAACAACACCAGAGGGAGCTTGATAATAGATAGGAGGGTATCCACCAGGAATGACTGCTGTTGAAGGACCAGCAAGTCCTGCCATACGCTGTGCATATTGAAGCTGCAGCTGTGCTTGTCTTTCCTCTTTCCTTTGAGCAATAGCCACATACAATGGCTTCCGATGAAACATATATCCTGTGAGATACCAATGGCAAACTGATTAGCAGCTCAAAGAAAGCACGACATACAACTTAAATTTAACCCTGTAAGAAAAGCCATTAATTGAAACACAACTTAAAAAATGTATGCATATAAGTCAAAGAACACAAGTTATTTTAAAATTGAAGGAGGAACACAGAATGTCTACATGCTAGTTTCTTATGAACAATCGTAATTAAATATCAACTAAGGAAGGTTACCATATGAAATTTGTTAGCTTAAAAAGCTCAAATGCATGCAATCAACTTATTACCATGAAAAGTATTCACAGCCTTATTGCCCTCCTCAGGGGTAGAGAAGCAAACAAAACCAAACCCTTTGCTTATTCCTTTCTCATCTCGCATAATCTTTGCAGAAGTAATTGTGCCACACTGACTGAAGTGTTCTACCAGCTCTTCATCAGTGACATCATCATCAATGTTCTTCACATACACATTTGATCCCTACAAATTAAACAAAGATTAGATGCTACTAAAATAGACCTTGGGAGAGAAATGGGGAAGACAACTACCTTGAATTTCACCATTTGCTCCTTTCGTTTCTCCTCAAATTGCCGACGCAACATTTGCTCACGCTCTGCCTTCTTCTGTGCCCTTGCTACATACAGAACCTTGGAGCCTACTCAAATATAAACCACAGGACCAAAAAAAAGAGTTCCTGTATCAGGAAATGCATCCATATTTCCAATTAATTAAGGCCGTAAGAAAGATACCTAACTTACCCAGTTGTGATCCATTCATTGCCTCCATTGCTCGTCGAGCATCATCTGGGTTCTCAAAGTTCACAAATCCAAAACCTCTAGAGTTCCCATTGTCATCCTTTGTAATAGTGAAGCTAACAATTTTCCCGAATTCGGAGAACTTTTCCTCCACAAGCTCTTCCCTGACATTTGTATCCAAATTCTTCATGTACAAATTTGTATATTTCATATCAGGATTGGCCAAAACTCGATCGCTCTTTCTAATAAATTTGGCAACATACCTGTGACATGAATTGTAATTCTTGCATGGTTAATATCCAGAGACAAGAAGAAGGAAAACATAAAACCAACAGGAAGAATTCATACACAAACACAAATGTATCAGTGCATATGCACTGTGTTATAAATAAGAAACATTTGAACAAAATATGGAGCAAGAAAAGAACTGCACATACAGAGGTTTGTCTCCCACAGTGGAGCCATTTAGGTTCTCAATAGCAGCAATTGCAGATTCCTCAGACTCAAACTGAACAAAGCCATAGCCTTTACTCTTCCCATCATCAAACGTGGCGACTTTGCAAGACAATATATTTCCAAATTTCTTAAACATATCTTGAAGCCCTACATTATCAATCGATTCGCTCAAGTTCTGCAACAGATCACCAAAATGGTTTTACCATAAGTTCTTACATCAGAGAAAAGATAACACCTACGACTTACTGTTAATGCAACAGAACATACCTTGACAAACACATTCCCAATTCCACTTCTTCTCGCATCAGGATCACGATGCGACCACATGACCCTTATCACCTTTCCATGCACCTCAGAGTTATTCTTCACCTCAATAGCTCGAATTGCTATTAGAGAAAAATCAAATAAAGCTTAATCAGATTAAAATTAAGACAACATACAGTGTAAACCACCGAAAGAAAAACTTAATACAAAACTCAAAATTTTCATTTTTTTTTCTTCTCTGTAACTTTTCTGTTACCAAACAGATCAATCAAGAAATGGCAAACAGTGGAAATAGATCAAAATTGCAAAGATATAGTTCATCATTTTTCTACTTCATAAGATGGATTTCCAATAGCAAACAAGAATCTTAGCTCAAAACACCACACAATTGAAAAATAAAAGTAAAACTCAACTAAATAAAAATCTAATTCGTTCACATAGAACAACCAAAATTACCAAACGACTCGGAATCACAGTACAAGGCTCAGCAGATTAAAAATTCTCATAATTCCCAGACAATGGTACAATCCCAAGTGAGTCACTAGCATTGTCTCAGTAACGAAACGGAGCACCACCAAATCAAAAATCAAAACCTCAACTCAATCAAACCAAACAAATTCAATTCCAAGCCCAAGTCTTTTCCTTTCTCACGAAACGACAAGGTAAAATCAACGCTACCCAAGAACAAAGATAACAATTCACACAACAACAACAAAAAAAACAAAATTCAAAAAAGTTACCTTCTTGCGGGTTGATGAAGTTGATGTAGCCGTAGCAGAGAGAATGGCCGTCGGTGGAGTCCCTACAGACCCGTACGGACGTGATGGACTTGAACTGACTGAAAGCATCGTACAGCTGGCCATCGGTGATGTACGGATTAAGGTCTCCGACGTACAGCGACGCAGTCGGCACACCCACCGCCAGAGGATTAACGGCCATGATCGAACCAAACGTACAGAGAAAACTGAAAGAAGAAAAAAAAAGGGAAAAACGAAAAAAACACAGAGCCTTTTTCAAGCCCTCAGGGAACCGATAAATAACAATGCTCGTTGCAATCGGTGCTCTGTGTTTTATTAGCGGCTCTGAATCAAATCGGCGTGTCTCTTGATTGTACAGTAATTGCACCAAAAACACAGAGAGAGAGAGAGAAGGAGAGTGATTTTGATGAGTGTAGAGAGAGAGAATTTTGGAAGGAAATGGAGATTTCTTTTTTTGTTTTTTGTTTTTTTCTGTTTTTCGGGGAATTTTAGAGAGAAGGACAGTGACTGTCGATGAGGAGTTTTTGCATGGGAGAGTAGGGGGACCTTTTCAAGGATTCATTCGTAGGGGCGGGGCCCGCCTCCACGTGCGGACTCGGCGCGGGGGATTTACGCGCCCGTCTCACTGAAAACAATGTGACGTTTCAGGATCAGGAGCGCGATTTGGTTTTGCCACGTCAGCAGTCATGAATTATACACAGCGAGTCTAGTTACGCGACGCAACAGAAACATCTCCTGGGTTGAGTTGTTGGCGCGGTTTGTTTTGTTTTTTTGTAATCTTGAAATTTATGGATTTTTTAAAAACATTTGCTAATATAATTTTTTTAAGGAATGTTATTTGTTTTCTAATATTGATCATTACTTTTAACCCAAAAAAATATATAGATCATTGCCACTTGCCAAAAAAAAAAATCATTAATTTTAGATTATGTGTGGAAAAAGAAATATAAAAATAACAGAATTTATAGCAAGTTTACAGGAGTATGTGTTGACTGCGATAAATAATTATCTTACTTAGAGCGCAAACAATGTTTCTTAATTTTAAGAAGACTTAGATGGAATGTTTAGTTTCAACTCTTTTAATCAAATTAACGCTTTATGCAATTAAGACGACATAAACACTAAAGTGATTAATGCTTTATTATCATCAATGCATTTAACATTGTGAGTGGATATGATGATGTGATTACATGACAAATTATACTTTCATGTTCGAGGTTAGACAAGAATGGCAAATAAAAGTAGCTATTTTGATAAGAACTTTGATGTTGAGTTTAGATATGATGTCAAACTAATCTATACATAATTCGGAGATAATAAAGGAATAATGACAATTAAAATGTTATTTTTTAGAAAGAAAAAAAAACAAAATAAAATTGCGCTCCTCCTAATCAGACTAGAACCATGAAAATAGGTCACACGTGTGGATGAAGAATACCACGTGGCCCAAGAGCTTATGAGACTGCTTCAAAGCTGCGAAAAACGCTTCACGCACCATATTCACAGAAAAGACAATTCTTCACAGGGATTATCGGCATCTTTCACAACCAGAATTTTAACCCAAGGAACGCCCTTTTTCACGGACACAATCCTCACTGCTCAATTATTTTCTCCTATTTATTTGTTATTTTCAATTGGTATTTGGTTTTATTTTATGACTAGGAGAAAAATTTACGTATAATGAGTTCATTTAACCTCACTAGAACAAGTAATCAAAAAGAAATTATCCGTGAGAAGAGGAACTTTATAACGAATTTTACCGGTCTATATAACCTTATCACGTGATGAAAGAGATAGAGATTACCGATCACCAACACTAGTTTTCATTGCATTGCTTAAAATATCACTTTACAATTACATTTAGTTGAGGAAGTTATATACGGTACCGTACACGGACCTACAGCAATCAAGCTGTGACAAAACTGCATGGGCCACTTGATGATAGAAATTAAATGGCGCAGCTCAGAAATTAAAGAACATTAGGGTCTTTTCCTTTTGGGTCATAATACTTGTGCCTCATAAAAAACAAGTCCATAATAAATAACTTGTTTGGGGCTTCATATGATTACAACTCCTTAAGTGCAATTCAACTGAATTAATTTCATTATAATTTATAAAAATGGGGTTCAAATTTAATCATCATCAAAACTACAACACTCACACAAATGCCCAAAATACTTTTGAGTTGTCTCCAACATTTGCACCCAACAACAGTCAACTGTCTTCTTAATCTCTGTGAGAACAAAACATGTGACAACAAGAAGAAACTCTGAAACTTTTTTTGTTTCAGCTATGTACAAATTGAACAGCTTGGAATGATCAAGTAAAAATAGTAAACAAAAATGACATTTGACTCAGACAACATACAGAATTTCTATATGCCTAGCTACATCAAGCTGCATTAGCTGGCTGTGCTTCCACCGGCCGCAAGCTCATCGTACAAAGAAAATTTTACCGTTTGAGGATGGCGACCCTGACAGCAAACCTTCAAGTCAGAAGAAAGATGGTTCCCCCTATTCAAACAAATCAGAAGCATATCATACTGATGATATACATTGTTGTGACCCCTGGCGCTTGGCAATACACATAACAGCAGAAGGCCCACTGATCACTATTAATAAAGATCAGCCGATCCAATACACTTTGAAAAGAGAATTGAAATCTGAGGTTTAAATTACAGAAAATGGAACTCCACAAACACCAATATGTGCATCAAGAAAACCACAATTCCTGTTGTTAGCAGCTTGAATAGCATGTCTCCTGATGAGCTGCTCTCACTCAGCTGTCCTGCATTGACATACTCGTCTTTGCTAGAAGTTACAGAGACATTTACAGACAATGAACCTGAAAAAGAGAAATTTTCAAAATATGACATAGGTGCTGAGGGGAACTTAAAAATATGGACTCATAATTGAACTTACAATCATAGTTAGCCCATCCAATCCGTTGATGAGCTAAATCATACACAAATATCTTATCTTTTAGAACAAGATCTGCAAGTGAAGAAACAAAAAAGGTCATAAGATGGCACATATATCAGTAATTAAACTGTACAAAAATAACTGCAAAGTGCTCAGAAGACATTGCATTGTGCACCGCCAGGTAGACCAGAAAATACATTACTTAGCATAAACCCCAACATAAATAAGCTTCTAAAAAAAATAAATGCAATGGGAAAAATTAAAGAGGATTCAAGAAAAGCCAACACATTTCTGTTTAAGTAGGAAAGGAAGTTGAATGCTGGGGTACATGACAGATTCTTTAGACATTTTGAACACTGAAGATATGCACAGTATGTCATGCGAGCATTGCACTTGAATTTATTGGTGAGCTCAAACCCCTTCCTTTTTCCTTTTCTTCTTATGCACTCAGAGTCAGACCTAAAGGCACAGCCTGAATCCTTGCTCTGCTTTTTTAAACGTGCCTCTAAAACTGAGTTATTCATCAAAAAGTCTTATTGTATGAAGTTTTATAAATCAAATTCAACGGATTAAAAGAACACTCATTATGGACCGCAGATGCATATATGACTTGATTGAGACTCCCAGGAAACTGCTCCTTCCTCCAACCAATATCAGTAAACTTTTGTCCATAAAAATTTAATAACCAGACTAAATTCAGGGTCTAACCTCCTAAAATTGTCACCCCTCCCTGAACCTTCTGAAAACCAATGCACCACACAGCAGCACCTTCCTGTAACAATAGAATGACTCATTACACTTATGCCATACAATTTGCAAAAATCATGTCTAATGCAATGACTTTGAATAAGAACTTTTACAGAGGGAGACGGAGGAACAACTTACACTAGAACCAGTACGCATGAGGTATTCTTCGGGTTTCAACACCATTGATGCACCAGCAGCAAAGTTTAGACTAACTGGAGGAAATACCTCAGCCAAACTGAAACATAAAATGGACCTAAATGTCATTCAGGTTTTTATATTATATTATATTATATATATATATATTTATAATAAAAAAGAGAGATAAACATGCCACTATTATGCCCACCCTCCATAGCTTTTCTGCAGAGGGAACTTAACAAATATTCAGAGATAGAACCAACCTGGTGGAAACAAGATAACACTGGTTTCCTTTTGAAATGATGGGAGTCACAGATTGTGAAACAGCTGAAGTTATCTACACATCCGAACACAAAATCAGCTTTTAATAAGGAGAAGATATCTTATTTTAATAATAAAATACTCTTGTTCAGACCAAACACAACAACCGTTATGTTCCTCCCAATACTGATTGCTCCCATGCTATATATTCACTAAAAGGAAGTCTGAACTCAAATAGAAAGGGAGGAGCAGATATTGCACAACATCAAAGTCAAGTTGGCCCCAGAAAGAAACTAGAATGAGAGATGAAATGAATGGAGAAGACAGAAAAGGAAGTCACAATGGGAAGTGAGTTTAATTTTGTGCCTTAATAATGGGAGCTTCTGTCCATGAAATTTCATCATAAACCCAGACATAAGGTTAATGATGAATAACCCACTACCAAAATGACCTATTTCATCCCAATGCTAAAGATGAATATAATTAAGTGAATCATCAAACCAAACCAAGTGAATAAACTTACAGCACTAACAAAAGGATCGTAAGCTTCTTCAACAAGGTATGTCAAAGTTGTTCCTGAGTCAACAATAGTTCCTCGGCTGTTTGATGTGGTGAAGGCTGCTGGATCAATTGGCAATATTTGTCCATTGACAGCAATGCTATGCAGATTTAAATTATAATGCTGCCTGAAAATAGTAAATTAGGACTCAGTTGCATTAGCTGAATAAATAAAAAAATAGAAACTCATGAAAATTTTCAATTAATAGTGAACATTACATTACAGCAAAAGTAAACATGTAGTGACATGAAATCTAGAAAATAAGGTTGCACATAAGTAATTCAATTTTTACAATTAAAAGAAAATATCTGAAGTAAAAACTGGTGTAGTTGGCATCCCCCTCCCCCCAACCCACACCAAACGGGCAATCTGCCTGATGAGTCTCCAAACTGGCCCGAATCAGTGAAACAATAATACATCATCTAAGTAGAAAACAAAGCATTATATGATGGGGGTGAATGAAGATGAACCCTATCAAGTCTGAGCAGAATAGGAATGAATTAAGACATTTTTCACAACAGAAATTGAGCTGCAGTAGGTAATCCTTATATTCCTTGTTGGTGGACTGATAGTAACCCTCTTATTCCAACCATGCACACTCAAAAATAATCTCCGTGCTAATATCAAATAGCTAAGAACTACAAGTTTAAAAAGCCAAAAGTGACATGACTCAATGTTAAGTTAGAACATCCAACCCTTAGTGTATAAATTAATTTCATATTCAAGGTCCATCAGTGGCCAAATAAATTGTGCGTACGGATATAGCAACACAAAGGCACAAAAATAACCTAAACTGGGTTATACTTATATCTTTAAACTTCCCACTTCATAAAATTCAGAGTTTCATATTAAAGATTACAACCAGAAATAAATAAGAGAAAATCCAACGGGATAGAGACATACTGTGACGGGACAAGGGGACTATAAACAATATTTGGCTCCAAAATCTCACCAAGAACAAGTATACCCCCTCCATTGCCATCTCCCTTCAAACAATGAGAGAACACTTTGGGAGTTACCCCTCGAGATGACAACTGTGATATAACAGACAGAGCCCCTTGCCCAAATCCAAATATCCCATCCACAGCTTTATCTGTCTTAGTCAAATCCCCAGACTGATAGGTACTACACCTGTTTCCAACACAATCAGCCAAGGAAATAAGCTTCAATCAACAGGAACAACACGAACATTAATGTAGGCATCTGAAGGCAAATTTAAAAAGTCATGATGATATAAGATGTGTCATTACTCTTGTTTAGTCAGAAAAGTTTTATGATTACGCAACAGGTTATTAAAAAACACACACCACTCTTATAATCAGAGAAATTCTGCATAATTAATTATTGTTGTTCTGGCACATGACATACTTATCGTTATTAAAGGAGCATAGTCACTATTACTGCTAAATGGTGAGGCCTGTCAACCATGCCATTTCAAAATTTATAGTAACTATGGATAAGCTATATACTCCCATAAACAACAATTTTTATTTTATTTACTGAGAAAAATAAAACAATCTTCATAGATAGTTACTATTTTTTTTCTTTTTCCCTCTTTCACGCTTTTCTCCTATTTTCGTCAATGGTTGGTTTCCATTCCACATTTTTATCCACACATCATCTCAGTACAAGTTAAAACAGCTCACCCGAAAACAACGAATGCTGAAGAGTTAGCAATATAAGACTGCCCCAGAATCATGTCAAAATATAGCGCATCTGATACATAATAACCAGTTGTCCCACTTCCATCTCCATATTGAAAAGTGTAACTGCACTGATTACTCTGAGAAGAGCATTCGGTTGATGAAGTTTGAAATGAGGAGGTGCACATCGGGTCTGAACAGGGGATCAGCCCTGCAGTTGACGAGCTGGCAGAATCATATAAATTGAGCTCAATCTGTAAAACATGGAACATTAGATTGTTAAGCTTAGAATTGTCTCTTTACTCAGCAAGATTATGAGAATGACACAAAGCAAGAAAAAGAAGCAGAAGTTTACTCCGAGTCCACTAGACTGGGGGCAATCACTGCAGGAATTGCAGGTAATCCACAAGATGTCACTTCCAGTATCAATCTGAACATTGAATTCTTTTGGCGGAGAGCCCAATTTCACTTTGGTAAAATAAAGCCTGGATAAAAACCAATATAGAAGAATCGAAGATGAACAAAAGTCATTAACTTGATATACAACACTGGACCAGAAAGGTGCCCATGATGCTCTATCTTAATTAGAGAAAAAAAAACAGAATAGAACTGAATAGAAACAAGAAAAAGATACATACACAAAAGATCCATCGACCCTGATTGAAAACAACACCCAGAAGCAAACAGCAAAAAGCCAAACTTAGTCAACGTTTTTAACATAAATTATTTAAAACAAATTATATATTTCTTCAAATTGCGTACTCTAAAAACCCATCAATCATCAAGCACCGGGTCTCCGTTTGGTCGCTAAGAAAGTACGGAACAATAACTCATTTGTAAAGGAACCGAAACAGCAAGAATTAACAAGACTAAAGCCTTTTTCTTTTTGTTTCTGTTTTTCTTTCCTTTTTTCCACTTTCTCAGCAACCAAACGGAGCTAGAAAAGGAAACAGGACAAAATAAATAAACACCCGTGTACACAAACGCTTACCCAATTAAAAAGCATTAACTAAGAACCAGAAGAAAACTCAACTCACACAAGAATATATACCAATTTGGGACAAACCCATTAACACAAACATATTAAAAGCTTCATACAAGAACATTAAAGATAACCCAGAAGATAAAATTACCCGACGACGTAGGGATCGGAGGTGCCTTCGACTGAGAAGTCGACAACGCCGCCCGCCACGTTTTGCAAGAGCCGGGCGTGCCTGACTCGGTCCCGAGCTCGGAGGTGGTCGAGTTGGACTCGGTGACTCGGCGGAAAGGCCCGTTCTAGAGAAAGAAAGGTGGCCGGCAAGCCACAGTAGACAACAGAGAGAGACAGCAGCACGGCGACGGAGGCCAAGATCGGAGCTTTGAAGACCCGCATTTCTTCGAAACGGTGCGTTTGAGTTGCCTGAGAGGGAAAGTTTAGTGGCGAGGATCGAGGTGGTGCTGGTTTTTCTTGCTTTTGCGCATTGAGAGAGAGGGAGACTGTCAGAAGCAGTGAGAGAGAGAGAGAGAGAGAGAGAGAGAGAGAGGGAGGCTTTGCTGCTTAAACAGAACTTTGGAACCAGTTTAATGAGAAATGAGTTGGGCACCCCAGGAGATTAACAAAGGCTACAAAGACGATTTTACCCTTAAATTACGGCTACTAGCCATAGAAGAAGGGATAAATGAGTGCAAGGCGTAAGGGTAATTTTGTACATGCAGAAGTATTTGTAATTGTCATACGTTGAGAAATTGGTTTAATCTGAAATTTTAATTGAAGGAGTAAAAAGATGGGTGGAAATAGCGAAAAGGAAATGACCGATTTTCCAGGTGACAAGACTGCGTTGGTCCGTCCACGTACGGCCCGCTGCGTATTCAGCACGCTTTTTTTGACCGTTAGACGACCAGCGAAGAAAGCCACGAGCCCGAAGTCGGTACGCTCGTAACTGTTGGCGGGTGTCAGACACACGCTCTTGGTGTGCGTGGGATTGTGATCGTAAAAGAAAATTGGGGTGTAGATTATAGCGAAAGGGAAATGTTAGCCGTACTTCAGGACGTCAGACGACAATCATAGACAAAGTACCATTTTTTCCACAATAATAATTATGTTTTTTAATCTGAAAATTACTAAAAATTTCAAGAGTTTTCAATCATCTATTCAAGATAGTAGGATTATAAGTTGCGAGATGAAAGTGCCAACCAATCGATCAATAATAATCATCCATGTGAGTTCTGGTCTTCGATAAGAGTATACAAGTGTCGTTCGATTAGCACTCACATCTCATATTAACTTCACAATATTTATCAAATATTGGAGAATTTTTGAGTCGAAACGAAAGCCAATTTTTGCATTGAGATTTAACCTCTTTTGATTGTTTGTTTTTAAGGTAAAGCTATACTCTTGAATTTGAAATCTTGAATTGTGCATGCTGTCATGCTAATCATATGTAAGTTGTGGAAGGTGAAGTATAAAATGTTTGTACTATAAGAAACCCTTTCATTCTGTCAAAAAGAAAAAAGACAAGCAACCCTTTCGTAAGAAAAGCCCGCGAAAATACTATGAATATTTTATTTTTATTTTTGTTTTTGTTGGTGGGTGCAAATGTGGAAATTGACATGGAGCAAAAAGTCACAACTCTAGCCAGCTCAACTCCAATGCGACCTAAAAAAATCAATTGTGGATCTTTAGATGGAGGGGGTTGGGTGAAAGCGAGAGTTCTTGTCAAGTCTTCGTCTTCACAAACCCTCAATTATATGTTATTGATATGTCATGTCATTAAACCCAAATTCTAAATTGTAGAAATATGGAATGAAACCACTATATAAGTCTGATAGTGTGAATTCATAATAATTCATGTACGTATCAGTGAAATCCACGATATAAGATTGATTAAGCAAATACATAATTCAAAACCAACCATAACTATTCATGCACGTATGGACGGATAAATACTTCTCTATCTCTGTTTCATTGTCTCATTTTCTCTATCTTTCTCCTCATTTCACTTGTTAGAGTATGAGAGAGATATAGAGACAAAGACAATGAAATGAAAGTAGGGATGTTTTTTCTCGCATGAGTGAGGTTTTTTCTAAAAACTCTTAATATATAAAATTAGTTAATTGTAATAGAGAGAGATTTCTTCACGGACTGTCTTTCTTCCTGATCCCCTGCCTTAGCCATTTAATCTGCCTCATTATCATTACATTGCGTACTTAAAAGCATAATATCCTCAAGACGTTTTGCAATTTCCATCAACCAAATTCTTTAATAAATCTTGACTAACTAGCCATGTAAATTCCAATAAAATAAGATTGCTTTTCTTGTTGAACATCATTTACTACAAAAGAGCAGTCTTTCTTTACATTTGAAAATTGACGTGTGTCTATATATACATGCACACATCTTCAAATCAAATGTGTATATGAAGGAAGCTTCCCACTCTTGTTAAAAGCAGATTAAATGGATGGGGACTTTTGTGATGATGACAATCGCATCCCTCCACGTTAAACTCACATCATGCATGACGAGGAAGTATATTCATTTATAAGATTTGCTTAGGTTTGTATTTGAATTGAAATAGAAAAAAATGTATGTGCTTTATGGACGGCAACTTTAGCTTTTAATATGAAAAAGGGGTTTAGAAGGGCCATGGTATTGGAAGGGAGTTAGTTGCCAATAGGATGGCTTTTTGTTGCTCAAGTCACTTTTGCTATTGCAGCTACCGCTCTATATTTGCACATTTCACACGACAACAAAGTACCATTTTGACTCTTTTTTTGCACCCTCTTTGTTGAATGCTTTGCTTTCACAGAAATATTCTGCAGCATAACAAAAAAATTTAAAATAAAAGAGGATTTCCATCTTACAGTTCAAAGAGTAAATTAAGAGGGGTTGTTAAATTTCAAAGAGACGGGTCAGCGGCTCACTGCTAGTGACACCGATATTGTCCCCAACTTAACCACCTACAAAGCCCAGTAGGTGTGGGGTTTTATCACAAAAGGTCTCGGTGATATTAATAGTGGAACCATTCATTATATATTTTATTTTATTTAGTCAAGTTTCTAATGTGGGACTTATATTCTTCAACATAGGTAACATATTTCGCACATTCGTTGACAACATAATGTGATTTGTCGCTTGTAGCAATCATAATAATTTCATAAATCAGGTTTCTCTTTTTACATGAATTCATGCCATTTTTTTTAGATTTAGGGTTTGCATCAAAATCTTTAATTTTATAAGATGATGTGGGAGTAGATTTGCTAGCTCCTTCAATTCAAAACTTGATTCTTGTAAATCCTTGTGATTTTCTTATTTTTGGACTGAACTTGTTGCCCTCTACATATATTCTAACATCTTACAAAAGTTTTATGGGTAATACGAAAAAAGAGGAAGGAAAATATGCTCCTATGTCTCTCTTATCATCGTCATGTCTATCACCTTCTAAAAATCAACCACCACTTGAGAGTCCTGACGTGCTCAAAACTTTCCAGATAAATTGGCTGGTAATTTACATTTGTTTTATGGCTCCTTGATGTTCACATTAGAAGAACTTTCATGTGCTCCTGCAAAAGCTATTGGAAGGAGTTGTCATGGAACAATGAACAAAGCTATGCTCGACTCAGGTCATGTATTGGCTGTGAAATTGCTAAGGAAGGGTATAGCAAAGGGAAGAAAAGAATTTGCAAGAGAAGTAAAGAAACTAGGAAACATCATACATCCGAATCTAGTTTCTCTGCTCGGTTACTACTGGGACCTAAAAGAGCATGATAGAAACTGATTATATCAACAACTTATACTAATGCACAATCGTTGGCATTTCATCTACATGGTAAGATTCTGTTATCTATCTTTCGTTTTAGGATTTGAAATAAGAATCTCCCGAATATTATTTCCGTCTCCAAAATAAGACTCTCTAAATTAATTTTAGGATTCATTCAGCAGCACTCTTAACGAATATAGAACTAGAAAATATAAAAATTGGGCTGGGAGCTCGAGGTGGTGACTTATGTATATAGTAACGCTCTCTCTTCTTTTTTCACAAAGATGGATTTCGTGGTTGGGCCGTAGAGAAGGCTCTCAGGTTCACTTGGGCTGAAATTCTGGATAAGCCCATAAATATATAGTTGATCTGCAGTCCCAAAAAAAGAAAAAGGAATTTTGATTAAATTTTTTTAGTAATTTTAGTATGCAGAGTTTTCAAATTATGATCTTTAAAAAATAAAATAAAGAGGAATTAGCTTCCGTTTGGCGGCAGCTTTAATTTGGTAACTAATTGTAGAAATTTGGAAGCTCGGAGAAAGAGTCCTAGTTAAACTGGGAAATAAAAATAGTACCGTTGTTTTGTTACCGCGTCACAATTAAGCTAAACCCGACTCTTATATAAACCTCCTCGCGCACCACACTGAAGCCTCCAACTTTCTCACTACTCTCTTACTCTCTTACTCGACCGATCCAAAGCTCTCTATCTCTATAGAATCGCACGACATGGCCGAGACTGACGCTTCCGTCGACACAGCCAACGCCACCATCGAAACGGCGGCGCAGCCAAACGACAACTCGTCGTCCGATACGGCCACCAGTGCTCCCCCACCGCCGGCGAAACCGGAGTCAAAGCGCTGGGCCGACGAGGAGGACGACCCTCCCGAGGAGCCCGAGAAGAAAAATGACGCGACGTCTACTTCCGAGCCGGAAGTGAACGTTGCCGAATTGAAGATCACCGAGAACAAGTTCCTCGACGACCCCGAAGACTCTAATATTAGCGCCGTATGATCTCTCTCTCTGAAATTTTCAATTTTTGGTTTTAATTAGGGTTTTTATTCAAACTGCAGTAGGGCTATGGTTATTGGTTGATTTTGTTAATGATTTTGGGGATTTAATTCGATTTAGGTTACGACCGGCGACACGCCGTACACGTCGGCGAGTAGCTTCGAGGATCTGAATCTATCGCCGGAGGTGCTGAAGGGCTTGTATGTAGAGATGGGGTTCAAGAAGCCCAGTAAAGTCCAGGCAATCACTTTGCCCATGATTTTAACCCCTCCCTACAAAGATCTTATTGCTCAGGCCCACAATGGTTCGGGCAAAACCACTTGTTTCGTGCTTGGGATGCTCAGCCGGGTCGATCCCAATGTTAACGCTCCTCAGGCGCTCTGTATCTGCCCCACCAGAGAGTTGGCCATTCAGGTAAAGTTTCATTCTTTTCTTAGATTGTTACTCCAATTGTTGTTCTTTTATTAATTTGAATAGAAATTATAGGGTGAATGATATAAAATTTACTTAAAAGAAAGAAAGAAGTTTTTTTTTTTTTTTTTTTTTTTGAATAGCTGAGCTTTTTAGACTAGAGGATTGATGGTGGTAAGTGAATGTGGCAGAATATGGAGGTCCTTCAGAAGATGGGGAAGTACACGGGGATAAAAGCAGAGTGTGCTGTCCCAGCGGAGAGGACGAGTGCTCCGTCCATTCAATCTCGAGCACCAGTATCAGCACAAATTGTGATCGGAACCCCTGGTACAATTAAGAAATGGATGTCTATCAAGAAGCTGGGCGTAAGCCGTGTGAAGATTCTTGTGTTTGACGAGGCTGATTACATGTTGGCCGAGGTAATCATATCATGCCACTAGATTTGATTAATTTTTTAAAAGTTCATGGTTACCTTGTCTGCTTTATCTTGACTCTGGATTGTACAATATTGTATGTTTTCTAAGCGTGTAATGCCACCTCAATCAGTTAACGAGAACAAAATTAGCCTCATGGACGATATATCTAGGGTCTTTTATTTTATTATGGTAATGTGATATGAGTAGACCTGTGGTTTAAGGGTATAAGTTGGTTAAGCATGTGTGCTTTGAGCATCCCTTGCTGTCTGTTCTCTTCAAGCATTAAGTGGTGTATCAATCTACTGCAAATGATTGGCTAGCAATGATTTATGCTTTTATGTATTAAGTCGCTAAATACTTTTGTGCAGGATGGCTTTCAGGATGATTCGTTAAGGATAAAGAAGGATATAGAGAGATTTAGCCCTCACTGCCAGGTTCGTCAAATTTATTTTTTAAGTTTTATTGTGCCTAACGTTTAATGTATATTTTATTGCGTCAAATTCATAGTTTCTGTATATTTTATTTCATGATTTTTTTCCAATATCTTATTATTGAAAACACCTGTGTTTAAGGTTCAACGAAACTAGTATCGGAATTAGTTCCTACTTTTTAAAATCTTATTAATGAGAGCACTTTTTTTTAAGGTTCAGCAAAGCTAGTATGGAATTAGTTCCCACTTTATTCAATCTTATTGATGCAACACCTTTGTTTAAGGGTAAATGAGACTAGTATTTGAATCAGTTTCCACTTTATAAAACTCTCATCAGTGGTTTGATGATAAAATTATTAAAGTTCAGCTAGTTTGCAAAGGTACTTTCATAAGAGAGTTTATCCATATTTTATTTGTTTCAGTACTGTTTGTTCTTGAAGACTCTGTACTACTGTGAATTTTATGGTTGGACATCTTTAGTAATGATAATTAACGTTGCTGGTAGTGGAAATAAAGGAATGGTTATGGTGTGCACATTGACCGCTGTTTCAACGGGGAATGTTCGTGTGATTAAATTATTGTGTTATCTTCAGAATATCTCCTTAAAATTTTAAAAATTGTAGGGAGTAGTGATTGACTAACTACCTTATGTCACATTTGTTGTCAGGTGCTTTTGTTTTCTGCTACATTTAATGAAACAGTCACAAATTTTGTTTCAAGAGTGATCAAAGGCAGTGGTAATAAACTCTTCGTAAAGAAAGAAGAGCTATCTTTGGAGGGTGTAAAGCAGTACAAGGTGTACTGTCCTGATGAATTGACCAAGATTGAAATCATCAAAAGCAAAATATTTGAACTGGGAGAGAACTTGGGGCAGAGAATTATATTCGTAAGGACAAAAAACAGCGCAAGAATGTTGCATCAAATACTCGTTGAAGATGGTTATGCGGTTACTACTATTCAAGGTGCTCTCACTGTTGAAGATAGAGACAAAATAGTCAAAGAGTTTAAGGATGGATTAACCCAAGTTCTTATCTCAACTGACCTACTCGCTCGAGGCTTTGACCAACAGCAGGTTCACATTCTCTCCATTCTTTTCTCCTTCTGTCTGATATGCCTTACAAGATTTACACGCTGACATGATACCTTTTTGTAGGTTAATTGTGTAGTCAATTATGATCTCCCAATCAAATACACAAGTGGCCCCAGGACGCAGGACCCAGAGCCTGATTATGAGGTGTACTTGCATAGAATTGGAAGGGCAGGGCGTTTTGGTCGCAAGGGTAAGTTTCTCATTCCAAAGTTTGTCTTTTGGTGTTCTGTTTCGTATATATTTTGGCTCTTTTCCGTGTAATGGAGTTGTCAGTTGTTAGACCTATTATTTAATTAGGAAATATGTGGCACACAGCATCTCCTTTGATCATGTTTCGTTGAAGAAGGAAACAAAATAGCTGTTTATGTTTTTGGTATATTATATTACTCTCTCGATCTAACAAAATAGGTAGTGTGCTGATATTACATTGCTATGTAAATTTGGAGTTACTAATGTGAAATGGAAACATTGACTGAGCGATGTGCATGTGTAATCATGCAGGGGCTGTGTTTAACTTGATTTGTGGTGATTGGGATGAATTGATCATGTCAAAGATTGAGCAGTATTTCAACTCCCCAGTAACAGAGGTAATAATCTTGCACCTCATCCCGCTTTAACTTTGAATTTTTTCATGGAAAATTGAGTCCTCCGTGTTCTTCTAAAAACAAAAGTTCAGTAACTTTTTATTGTTTGATAGGAAAGGATTGGAAACTTCAAATTTTATACATTAGGAAGTTTGAGTCTTCATAAGTTCCAAAATTTATCAATATCTTATTGAGGAGATAAATAACTGTAAACTATTGTATCTAATTGTTGTCTTCTTGTTGCTGCTGCGTTAACAGGTTCAGAATACTGAAGAAGCTTTTGAAGGTGCTCTTAAATCAGCTGGCTTACTCTAAGGTCTTAAGGACATACGCAGCTTTGGCACAACCAGTTTTGGAAAAGAAAATACGCGGTGACATTGTAGCAGAAGAGCACATCTTGCCAAGAGTTTTTATTTTTATTTGAAGTTATTTGTGGACCTCTACGTATATTGCTTGATGGGTTCGCTGTCTAGTTTCTGTAATTGTTACAATTGCGTAACAAAATAGAGTCCAGGTTTTCTGTTTTTAATTATCCATTCTTCTTGTTACTAGGGGCCATGTTTGTATGAAGTCATTTGTGATAATCATTTAGTGAGTTTGGAGCTTGATCCAATTTGTTTGCTATATTTTTGGTGTACTTTTTTGTTGTCAATAAAATAACAAAATTCTTGATTGAAATGAACAAGCCTACATATCATATGAAAGCTCTTATGTTACAAAACCATCATCAAGATCAGGCATTGGAAACCTCAAAATTGGGGCAATGCTGGTGGTGGCCGGCTCCACTCCGGCCACATGTTTTGCCGAAAACACAATCGCCTTCCCTCCCGCCTCTTTCACCAACTTCACCAACCCTACATACTTATGCCTTGTCCCGATTTCTGCATTCTAAAATAAATCATCCATGATCAACAGCGTTTCGATGGCCATCAACTCATGTGCCATCTCCACGCTCTTCACACCATAACATGCTCAATCCGAATTGCTCAATACCATGTCCGAAAACTCCTTGTAAGCCCTGATCTCCATCGCAGCCTGGGTGTCCTTGATCAACGGTCATGCAAAACCTCATGCAAGCTGCTACTACAATTATTATTGTCGCCTTTGCTCGTATTAACGACAATCCTTGATTTGTTGTTCTCAACGATAGACTTGAACTTGAACCTCTGCTCCTCCCCAATCAAAAAACGACGAAAGTCTTCCTTCATGCTTCCGGGGCTCCCAATCTGAATAATTAAACTTTCTATTTTATTCAAATTAAGCTGGTTGTCTTGAATAATTTATAAAGATAATTGAAAAGATGACCTTCATATTATTAAAAAAATTGGTACATAATTTAACAATCTGCATATCCTAAGTGGAATGCACGTCCCAAGTAGTGCCCTTCCACCCAAGTAAAACCCATTATGTGTCCTATATATTTGCTTCCTCCTCAATTTAATTAGAGACAGGGAGAGAATTTGAGAGAGATTAATTAAGAGAGATGAGAGCTATGGCGATGCTGATATTTGCAGTATTATTGATTGTAATGGGTTGCACCCAAACGGCTGATGCTTCTAATTATGAGGAACCCAAAATGAAAACCATCCATGTAGGTGGGAAAGTACTATGCCAAGATTGCACCCAAGGTTGGAATGAATGGGTTCATGGTGCCAAACCCATCAAAGGTATGTATCAAAATCCTTCCTCGTAAGTTGTCCTAAGCTGATGCGTGCGTAAGTAATTGTTAATCCGTTGATGTGTTGTGAAGCCACGAGTGATTAATATATGTACGTACTTGTTGTCACGAATGCAGGTGGGAAGGTGTCTGTGACATGCATGGATGAGAGAAGCAGGGTTGTGTACTACGGAAGCGATCTGACGGACGAGAAGGGCCAATTCGACTTGATCATAAACAAGTACATCAACGGCAAAGAACTCATAGCCAAGCTATGCTCAGTGAGGCTGGTGTCTTCCCCAGACGCCACCTGTAACGTTCTGACCAATTTTGCTGGTGGACGCACTGGGGTGAAGCTCAATAGGCCCAGTTTGATGTACAGAGATTTAGTCAAATACACAATTGATCCATTCTATTATACCACTCCAATGTGCGAGAAACCAGATACTGATGATCACTCTGATAATGGCCATGGAGGCCACTACTAATTAAGTATAATTAATACTTTTTCTTTCTACTTCTTTACTTCTTATCTTATGTAACTTTTTTTTTCTTGGAAACTTTTCGTTTAAACTTGTAATTCGGTGAATCAAATGTTTGTGAGACAATATGTTCATCAAGATTATCATATATAATTAGCTTAACACAATTGATGCTAATGTCACGTGAACTAATGCTCGACAATATGTACTTATTACATCAATTATTATAATTAAGTGCTAATTGACATAATAATCGTGTTATACAATAACAAGTGGTTACAAAATGTATTCCCTCTATATAGTATGGACGGTTTGGAAGTCAACCATGGGGGATATGGATGTAATTGGCCTTAATGGTATCTCTACAATGGAAAAAATGTATGCCTTGGCATGGGTCTGCTTCTTCTGGAAGGATAAGTGATGTTCAAGGCATGGTGAGCAGTAGCCAAGAACAGGCATACATACTCGTATTGTGTAGACGTATTGATAGGGAAACACTACATAGGAAGAAAAAAAAAATTATTGCTAGTTATTGAAGTTTTCAATTGATTGTTCGTATCATAATGGAGTGACTCAAATTTACCTCGAGCGCAAGGATAAACAATCAAATCCACTCAAACTAAAAATCCTCATCAATCAATGACAACTTATGTTTTATGTGAAACAATAATATCACGTTCACACGACATGACACTTGAATGAAACCTCACTATACGAGGCTCGATTTGTTGTAAGAGTAAGCGAATACAAAAACTTTTTTCTTTTTTTGGGTGAAACGGGAATAGTACTGCTTTGCTATCCCTAACCAATAATAAACTCACACGTGAAAAAATTATTACGTATGACATGCTATGATTGGCCAAAAATTAAAAAATGATGCTATTCCCATTTCATACAATTGTTTCTCGAGCAGATGGTTGACGCAGTTTGGCTGCAGCACCAAATAATTTCACCAAAACGACAGTGCAGCACTACCACCATCGTCGTCTACGACGGAGCTGGAGCTCAACATTGCCGTACGCGTCGGCGATTACATTGGAGGATCTGAATCTGGAGCCGGAGGTGATAAGGGGCTGCTTGTACCTAGAAATGGGGTTCAAGAGGCCCAGTAAAATCCAAGCAATCACATTGCCCATGATTTTGACCCCTCCATACAAAGACCTCATTTTGCTCAAGCACACAATGGAATCCCCGTGATAAGGGGATAACTGCATGGTGGTTTTTATTTGATTATCAGTATATCAGTAGTGGTTTTTATTGATTCTTCAGTTTATAAAAATGCTCTCTCATTGTTTCATGGTTTCCTCCTCTCATTGATTCTCGAGAACACATTTGTTTAAGCTTCAAACAATTGGTTCCAATTTCATTTGATTATCAGTATCAGTAGTGGATTTTTTTTTAATACTAAAAATCGTATAGCCGATCGGCTATACTACGGTTTCTATTATCAAAGAAATGGTATAGCCGGTTTCTATTATAAAAAATGGTATAGCCGTCCGGCTATACTTTTTTGACACTTGAGGAAGTGGACGAAAGACGCCAGGCGGGGTCCTCTTTTCTATAAATAGAATAGCCGAAAGGCTACACTCAAAACAGTATAGCCCGGCGACTATACTACGGTGTTTATATTAAAAAATCGTATAGCCGAACGACTATACTATTTTGACACGTGGCGAAATAAGAGCTGGGCGACAAGCGGGTCTTCTTTTTTAAAAAATAGTCTAGCCAATTGGCTATACTGCGGTTTTCATTAAAAAAAATAGTATAGCCGAGCGGCTATACTATTTTTGACACATGGCGAAATGAGCTCAGCCCCAGGCGGTTCCTTTTTTATGATAAATAGTATAGCCGGGCGGCTATACTTGGATTTTTTTAATAATAAAAATCTTATAGCCGCACGGCTATACGGTTTTGACACTCGAAGCAGGAGGGTATTTTTTTAAATATAAATAGTATAGCCGAACGGCAATACTAAGTGTCTTGTTAAACAAGTATACCCGTTCGGCTATATTACGATGTTTTCATTATAAAAATGGTATAGCTGTGTAGCCAGACGCGGGATATTGTTTCAAATAAAGTGTATAGCCGCCCGACTTTACAGGGGTCGTTTTTTATACAGATTATAGCCGGAAGGTTATACGCCTTTTTTTTTATAACAAAAAAGGGTATAGCCACGCGGCATTACTGGTTCTTTTTTAAAATTATTTTATATAAATAGTATAGCCGCGCGGCGATTACATACTGTGATCTATTTTTTAGATTTGTTTTTTCCCGAGCTTACCAAAATCAAAGAAGTGGAGAGAAGCTGGAATAAGAGTGGTCAGAATTGGTCTGAACTGAAGCCATGGCGACCCGCCTCGCGCGAAGAACAATAGCGTCTTCGTCGTCGTCGTCACTGATTCTGAGATCAACGGTGTACGATTCATCTCCAACGGTGATCAGCGTCGTCCATGGTGAGTCCCAACCAAGACGGCAATCATCATCATCGTCATCGTCGTCTAGTAAATCTGACAAGGCGGAGAAGAAGAAGCCAGTGCTAGACCGTCTATCGTCGGTTATAGACGCCGTCAACGACAGTAAACTCCCTCCTGAGCTTCGTGGTCAGCGCAACAACATCAGGTCCACCAAACCCAATTTTTCTTTTGTCTGCTAATTTTGGGTTTTTCTTATTATGATCATAATTTTTGAATTTTGGGATGGTGGGCACTGGGCAGGTCAGAAACAGATATAATCAATGTGGTTGAGCAAAGAATATGGCATTCAATGGAAGAAGGGCAGTTTGAGAATTTACCAGGAAAAGGGAAGCCCCTCAACTTAACTAGAAACCCTCATGCAGACCCAGCTGAGGACACTCTGTACAGAATTCTATCCAAAAATGGCTGTGCACCGCGGTGGGTCGAGCTCAACAAGGAGATAAGGAGCCAGGCATCTGAGTGGAGGCTGGCTCTGAAGAAGGCTTGGGCAAATAAAAATGATCACTCAAAATGGGTTGAAACTTCTGAGGCTTTGAAGTTGCAGGTCAAGCACATCAACAATAAGGTTTTCCAGTATAATCTCATGGTTCCTTTTGGGCGACAAATGTTAGGGCTCAAGTGGGAGAAGGAGCTGGATCGCTTGAAGTCGGAGGAATAGCATTGTTTTCTTCCACTTGTTTGGTTTGGGTTGAGTTACTGCGATTATATTGTACAAGATTAAAGTTTTTATGTACGTAGTAGTTGTTTTGATGGTATGGATTCGTATTATGTGCACTATTTTGATCAAATTTGAAAGCTATCAAAACCCAAATAGGGACAAACATAATGCTTATACACAGAATTACAATCAAAATTGAATGCTAGTATGAGAAGACAAATAGATTGCCAAAATGGTACGCTCATACAGAGCCACAAGAAGCAACCATCAAAAGTATTCTTTTCAACTTTTTCTAATAGAGTTATCGTCTAATATGTGTACATGTTTTTATCATAATAAGTTCATCCAATTGAAGAAGTTTTCGCGGCAAGATGAACAAGTGCTCGCCTGTGGTAAGTCGTACGAAGCTTCTTGTACTTCTCCACAAAACCCCCAAGATCAACCTCCCTATCAATGAGCTGCTGGTGCAGATTTTCGGATTCTTCCTCCGTCTTATTCATCGCTTCTGCACGGACAAACAACATTTCATGTACCAAAAAACTTGATTGTGATTCATGTGTAATGCAATTTTGTAAGAAATGGCATATTGCTGCCTTAGCAATACAGAATCCTGTAAATTACTGCACAATTTCAAACTATCATTACTGCATACCTTGAAGCCTATGGAGAAGAGAAGAAGGGGCATATTGCTTCAAAGTTTCTTCTTTCTGCCTCTCAAGTTCATTTAGCCTCTCCTGAGCAGCGGCCAACTCAGTTGTTCTAATTATTCTGCACTGTGGACACCAAAAAATGGGAGAGGAGGTTCAGTGATCAATACAATAAGTTTGTAACTAGTACGAGAATAAAATAAGCATTGTAAATGCTCACCTGGTTCCTAAGTTCCACCATGCGTGGTTCTTTTTCCAAGTTTTCCCCTGTTCGACAAAGATAAATTTAAGCTTTGTTTTCTCACGTACATATAATTCAACATCAGGAGACAAGTAGATCGGAAAATGAAACAAATAACTCACTGGATAATTGCAGCGTTTCCCTCCGTAGCTCCTCTCTTAGCTGATGTTGTCAGTAGAGACATAAGAAACAGAATAAAGACATGCCCCAAAACTCAAAGTATCAGAAACAAAGCAACTCCACATCATGCTAACAATCATAGTTAAGATATCAACTTCCCAAGCATTTGCTAGATAAAAGGAAAGTGTAGATATCAGTGTGGGTGCGTGTGTGCAGCAGCATTTGAAACATAAAAAGCAAGAGTACAACAGCAAAAGTTAAAACTTACATTATTTTGAATTTTGACCTGATCGAGTGAAAGAAAAAACTGCTGGTATGCATCCTTGTCAGCCAAAAGCTTCCGTAGCTCATCAACACTAAACACATTAATAAGGAAAACATAATGATTAGTTACTGATTACTGCACAAAGATAAGACAAGAATTGTATGAATTCTGAGAGGGATATCTCTGCATGACTCAAGACACTGAGACATGAGACATAGTCAATACAATGGACTTCAAGCAAGCACAATAAAAACTGAAAGGTTACAACTTTATAGATATTTTTTAGAACATAAGTCTCTCAATTATACAGACTAAGAAATAACAGAGTCACTTACTGAATAATATGTGATTTAACAAGTATGCTCTTTCAAAGATTGATTAAACCAATGATTGTGTGAACAAATCCTGTCTTGAGAGACTCTAAGCTTGTGTGTACTCCTAAAATAAATACAGTTTTCTTCTTTCTTGTATTCAGTCATCAAGTCATTTTCAGCATTCTTCAGTCTATCCAAAACTTCTGAGCTTTGTTTTATAAATAAACCAGCTCAAACAAAACTTATAACTATCCAAAACAATCATCAAGGAATGGTATATTACGAAAGGACTCTATATATCCAGATTTCTAATGTACAATCTAAAACAAAAGAAGCAACAAATGTAGATATATAACAACCTATATATGGGGCGATATAGCTAAGAACATTGTCATCAGTAGTAAGTTGAAGAATTGATCAGCCCTGAAACAGCAAAACCATCATTTCTATATAATGAACAGATATCTGTAGCACCAGGATCCCTACCTTTTGTCCTTCAAAACAGCAATAACACCGGCAGCTTCGGCGGGCGAAAACATGTGATGGAGACGGTGCCTTTTCTGTAAGCCTTTGGTAGCTCAAACTGCTAGAAGAGGTGCTGCTTGGAGTTCCAGGGCGAGAAGAGGTTGGAGAGTTAACTACAGATGGAGGGTACCATGACTGTGAAGAAGTAACAACCTCCGGCCGCGGCTGAGTTTGTTCCTCCTGAGATCCCCTGTGTATATAACCATGGTTAAACCTTCAGCCTCTCCAAAACACAACACCAATAAAACTACTTGCATCACGATTCATGCAATTTCCAATTTATAATTGCAGAAACGAATCAATTCAATTGCCAACAATTTCACAAATCGATTCAATTCATGAAATACATCAAATTCGCAAAAAAAAAAAAAAAAAAAAAAAAAAAAGGAAATTTGTAAACCGACATATATGATTCGATAGAAAAATGAACGAAAACGCCATAAAATCAAGCTTCGGCATCGGAATTCAACGCTAGGACAAATAAACCCTAACCAACATCGAAAAGCAAAATTACCAGAACTTGAACATGGACATGGCTTGAGGAGCTTCTGGACCGTCCGATCAATCGAGCTAGGTCAAGGAATCGAATCGAATCGAATCGACAGGAAGCTTGAGCTGTACGAAGCAGAGCGAGCAGAGAAACGGAGGAGTTGGAGCACAAAGAGACGACGAGGACTTTCGATGCTTCAAACTGCCCGGGTATGTTAGAAAGCACGTATCAACGGTTACGTCTCCGTCGAGATTGTGATACGCGTGGCTTTGGCTGATTGGTTGAAAACGCGTGCGAGTAAGACAAGGATCACAGAAGATGCAAAGAAACAACTTGGCAGAGTCATCAACAACTCTGCCGTCATTGGGCCGTGATTATGGGCCTAAATGGACCCCAAATATATGGTCAAAGTAAAACCCAACAAATATACCCAATTGGAGCCCAACGAGCATCGACCTATGGATAGTCGACTCTGGAATTCACACTTACCGCTTCTTCTAACATCGAAAAGAGAAATACCATTATACAGATATCTAATTGGTTTTCAACTGTTTGTTTAAGATTTGCTTTGTCCATTTGTGTTTTTAGGTATGTGTTTGTTTGGCCATAGTTAGCTTTAATTGTGAGGTGGGATTAATAAGTGTAGATTGGAAGAATTGGACTATGCTTTTTGGTTGACTATAAAAAAAAAGTACAACTCCAAACAATTCCATCTCTTTTGAGTCTTTCTATATAATTGTTCTCTCCTTTTAACAAAGTTCTTTTCTTTAGCCATTTTTTTGTATGGTCTAAAAGGGTGCATCGGTGAAGTTTCCTTGCAGTTTGATAATGCAAAATAAAATATATAGAGGAGAAAAAGGAGATTCTCAATTTGGTTGTAAAGAAGCAATAATGCAATATATATATATATATATATATCCCTCAAGCTCAAGGTATTTAATGAGATCTGAAGTACGATTGGAAGGTAAACAGGATTATTATACCAAATATATGCTTGGCTGGTTAACGACAGTGGACAGTAGGCTGGCTAATCGTGTTGGTGGTTAAAATCTAAAGACAATGTTTTAAGCTATAAAATTATATCATGAATTTGTGTTAAGAGGGATTGAGTGGTTGGATTGGATTGAGAGAGAGAGAGAGAGAAAGGACCCATCGGATGTGTGAAAAAGACCCGTATGTTTTCTTATTAATTCTCAACTCAACATTTAACTTCAATGTGAAGAACAATGATTCCAATCCAATGATGAAATATAAGAGACTGGATTTTCAAAATAATGCAACGAGCATTCTCAAATTACAAGCGGGAAATTTCATTTCATTTTTACACATTCAACTCGACGTAGAAATCTTAACTTTCGCCTCCAAACTTCAAATCTTCATTTTGACTCGAAAATCTTAAGTGCCGACATTAAACCTCAAATCCGAATCTTTGAATTACGAACCCTAAAACACAAAAATGGCATTATGATTATTTGCATTAATCATTTTCTGCGGCTACCAATAGTAACTAAAAGCCATTTTGTTTCCCCCGTTTGATGATGAAGAAACATCATCCCCATAGTAGTAGTAGGACCACACGCGACTCTTTATATCCGCAAAGGGACACTATAATGAATCGATCCAAGAATATCAAGGGCTGGAAAAGTTGGATCATCTTACTTTCTAAGGAAAAATTTTACTGGAAAAGGAACAACAATCCCCACTCCGAAATGTTACACATTTCTATAGGCTGTTGATGATCACTATCTCTTTCAAATTAAAGAAAAAAGTTACTAGCTCAACAAACAACTAGTAGACATAAGAAGCAAGAAAAGTTTAAAACCAAAGCTCAAGTTTAAAAGCCTTTCTTTTTTTTGCCTGTACTATATGTCAATCCAGCAACTGATATTCTCTTTCTCAAACCTACCAAAGTACACTATAGATCTTGTGAGCAGAAAAGAGACCCTAATATTAATACATCCTAATATATGGATAGTTTTTTCTTTTCCTCCAAGGAAAAGAGGAGTACAATTCCATATTTTAGGGAGCCCTGAATTGGCTAATAATTTATTGAACATCCTTTTTATTAGACAAATCTGTTCGAAACGAAAACATGTAGTAGGTAACATCAAATAGTAGTGTTACCGTCACACTGAAAAGTTTTCGTGCCAAAGATTGGATATATAGCTAGTATTATATATCCACGGTCCAATTTGATGCTTACCCCGAATGACAATATGCTACATCTAATTAATATACAGATCTCATTCAGTGATCCGAAATAGTAATAACATATAGTAGTACAGTTTGTTATCCTTAAACCTTGAAACTCTTATTGTAGTTGGTTTATTTACCGTTCCTCTCTCTGAACCTTTCTTTTTATTTTTCCGGCAATATTTAAAGTAGTAAAACCTAATTTTAGCTCCTTTATTTTGTTTTGTTTATGTTGAGGATTAAATTTGTTAGGTAACATGAAGATTATGACATATAATTATTACAGACAATGTGTGAGATTAAAGATTGTTCATGTTCTCCCTGTTGCCACACACACAGCCTTGATTAATTCCTACACAAAGGTGTTCGGCCCTTCAATTAGCCTGCATATTTTGCGAAAATCATTGCACTTCCATGGCCTTTGCAGCATTAGGAAAACTACTTAAATGAACGTCGCGTACGGTACGGTACGCGTACGTAACCCATGAAATAAATAAAAAAACCCCAAGAAAACTGGAAGAAGTGCAAGAAAAATGAAAACCTAGAATATTTAATACTATGCTCAAGCTCAAATTGTGCTACTTTAATCTACTCATGCGGCTTACATTTATTTGCAGAGTTTTTGAGCATTAGCAACCAGCCAGAGCCCACAGCTCCCAACCCCTCTAATAAAGGCCCTGATCGGCTGAACATGACTCTTTGTCAAAAAAACCATTCCCACTCAACTCGTCAAAACTTGTTTGCCAACAACTTGACAAGATGGGAAAGAAATCTCGTGTTACTCATACAACTTGGTGCACACGATTTCAAACGAGTTATTTGAACTTCATGTGAAAATTTAGATTATCTCAAAGTCACACAGTCCTTTTTTGGTCCCATCATATTAATATACTCAAGTTTTACATGATTAGGAAAGAATATAATATACAGATTTTCTCCTATTCACACAGTCGAACGTTATTACCGTACGGACGCTATGTATTTGTTATTCTCCCTCCTTGCTTTATTCTCTGTTTACAATGGCGTTCGCACAGTAATAACCTTCTGTGTATATATATATATATATATATATATATATATTTATATATATGATAGTACATGTTATGAGCAAAGGAATCCATAAAAAGTGATTAAATAAGATGCGTTTAGTGTAGTCTTTTGAGCCAAAGTAGTGGTGGTCTAAGCCATATAATAAGCATCTTACAGATAAAAGATAAAAAAGAATCTAAGATAAATGAATTAACTATGGATGACAAGCTTTGAGAATGAGTGGGTGGAGTCTCTTTAGAAGCTCATTAGGGCTCTTTTTGAAGTCTTTTTGGTTGGGCACAGAGCTTTTGAGTCTCGTCCCCTCGGCAGAATTTGCATCGGTTTCACATCATTGTCCATGCCTAGCTACCGACCTTTATCATCGATCCCCTTTCTTCTTTCACGGGGAAAAATGCTTTTCATGAAGGTGAAAAAAACCCCCTGATTTTGGTCTTTTCTTTCACATTTTGTCTTCAACCTTACCTTTAATCTCTTCGATACAAAAGCTTGTCGCTCTTTAACAGAACTTTCATAGTGTTTGCATGAAAGAATTTCTTAGGAGTTAAGAAGCCAACAAAGAAGGCAAAAGAGATTAACGTGACTTTAGTCCACCAAAGACACAAATATAATATTCAAGTGTTTTTTTCAACTTGTTTTCTTTTTTTCTTTCAATTTTCTCTGAGGTTAAAAAAGAAAAAAACTTCAAATGAAAAAGTATCATCATTGAATATCACCTTAAGTGTGAGGGGTCTAAATCATCATTATGGAAAATCACCTTAACATGTCCTCATTTGGAGTACACGATTGAACTCGATATGAGCACGGCTCAAAATTAGATTGGATTGAATTTGATATGAGCACTACTCAATTTTAGGGGTTTTTTTTATTTAATTTATTTAATTTTTTTAATGCTTTCTATTCAAGCAAAGTTATGAAGTGGTAGTCATCAATTTATCTTATCTTATACATAAATTTGAGATTTTTTCTTTCTTTTCTATATTTTTCAATGTTAGTTTTTCGGAATGCTTTTTTTTTGTTAGTTTTTTTTAATAAAAAAAAAAAAAATTTTATTGTTTGTTTGTTTTTTTTTTTTTTTTTTTTGGTTTTAAATACCATGAGATGTCCTCACACCCGAAGGGTTGTCCTTTCATTCATTCATTTACCCCGTGTTTCTCGATGCATCATAGTTTCTTTATATTAATATTATTTTGTGATTTCTTTACACAAATATCCTTTGAGATTTCTGACTTTTTCACAAAACTCCATGAAGTTTTAGAAATTACACAAAAACTCCATAAGATTTTAAATTATTTTCATAAAACTCATTTTCATTGATTTTTTGTCCAAAGATTAATTGATGATATCATACAAAAAAAATTGTCCAAATGACAAAGTTTGCCTTAGATATTAGATTGCATATATCAATTTTGGACAAAAAATCAACGAAAAGGGGTTTTGTGAAAACAAATTGAAACTTCATGTGTTGTTTGTGTAAGTTTTGAGACCTAGGGGGTTTTGTGAAAACACCAAAAACCTCAAGGGGTGTTAGTGTAAATAACTCATCTTGTAACTTGGATCCTCTAACTTGGACTCATGCATCGAACCTATACCTATAAACTTGGGTATCCACTTCGAGTTTTAAATGGGTCTTCCATTTACGTGGAGATTACCAAAGGAAAAAAAGTTGTAAATATTATATATATATATGTAATATTATGATTTTTTGGTCCTCTTGGTTATGTATTGTGAGTTTGAATTTATATATATATATATATATTTGGTGAGAGGCCCCCCCACACGCATAAAATCCCAACTCTACCACTGCTTAAACTTGGACAAAAGAGATTTAATTCAATCATTTTGCTAGGGTTCAATAATTGGTCAATTAGGGTTGAGTCGAGTCTCATCAAGCTAAAACGGGTCACGGCTGGGTTTGAAACCATTGGCCCTGACCCTACTAAAAAAACAACTCAAGTAGGGCTTTAGCTATGGTCACCCCTGATTTTGGCCCGTAATATCTGCCTGCGACAACCCACTTTAGCTTGTAGTGTATGCAAAATTACGATTCTTGAAATATTACAATTTTTGCACATAGCACAAGCTTTGTATAGCAACTTTTTTTTTCTTCACATTTTATTGTCTATGTATATATATCTACAAAGTGAAATGCCCTGATGGTTTCCATATTATGAGAGACTCAAATAGATGATCAGTTTCCATATCATAGAAGTGGTCTTGATACTTGGAAATGAAGAATTAAATGAAGATGTTTATGTAAATCGATCAGGACCAATTTATGAAACTCAACCCTCTTAAAATTCGACACTGATAATTTTAATCACATATATTCCCCCTACACTTTTGAATAAAGGCTTGAATCCTACCATCTAGTAGCTAATATTTGATATAATTGACAATTCGCTAAACGATTTGATGAGATGAAATTTAATATTTGATCAAATTATTCTTTCTCTGGACTATTTCTTGACTATAAAATACATGTGATTATGTCCGACTTATAACCTTAGAAGCTAATGAAGAATTACCAAGCCTTTTTTATCTCTCCCATCAAGAAGCGTCAAAATCGATCAAATTAGTAATGAAGAAGAAATACTCGAACTTGAAACCTTTTTCAATATTAAAAAACGAAGCACTCTAGTAGAGAAAGATCAAAACAAATAGTTGTAGTAGTTTCATTAGACAAAATTAATTATAGATTTCTTGTGTCCTTCCTAACCAAGTTTAGTTGTTGTTCAGCTGGATGTGTACGTATCTAGCATTTAAAATAAAATAAAATAAACCCATAAACACCTGGTGATGCAATTACCAATCAAGATGTTACATCTGGCCACTGGTTAATCCGATATATTGTTTTGTTTTGTTTTTACTAATCTAGTTAATAATGGTCTCATCACTACTAGGATTATAAATCCTTCTAATTACCGACCATGTCATTATCTTTTCCCCCCCACATTTGTATGGCTTCTAATGGATATGGTGAGGCCATTAATCTGCAGTTATGTTTATTAATTCTTCTCAATGCTGGAATCCTATGCCGGCACAATTTATAATCGCATTTGTTTTTATATAATTTCATTTTTATTTAAATCATTTAAAATAATAATAATAAACAACATTGAAATAGCTCATTCATTGGTGTAATCAACGTAATATTAAATCACTTCCGACATGACATGCTGCCTAAAATTATGCATATAAAGAGCCTTCCGTGACCTACCTAAACGTCAGCCGGTGCAATTTTGTCAATTATATAGTTAAAACAGCATGGATATATTTGTCAATTTTGCTCATACCGTGTGTTTTTAAAATGTTGACATATTATGTCGCGAGACAATTAGTTTTGAATCATTGACGAAATGTGTTTATATTAAAGGAGGAAAATATCAAACACATATCATCGAAAGCAAGAATAAATGTTCTAAATCATTTGAATGAATTGAGTGCACGCACTGAATGTCTGTTACATACTGATAATTTGACAAGATTGTCTGTTGGAAAAACATTACTGCAATGAGTATGACTATGAATGTATTTTGAAAGAAATTTCGATGGAGCATTATGCTGTTGTTTATTTGAAAACAGTACAAAAAAGTTAAAACCATCATTTTCGCTATTTACCCTCTTAAGCATCGACAATTAATTGTTGATACCTTTCATAATTGGACCGTCCTTGTTGAGCCACGTGGAATCTCTGCCACGTGGAGTGAATACAGGGTCATATCATTCTTGATGAACAACTAATTGGCCTATGCGTAGCCAAGTGGGTGACCTTGAACCTACGTAGAGACGCAAAGAAGATCCAAAGTAGCGTAAGCGCCAAACCTACCCATCCCTGTCCATTCATCTAACGGCTGCCATCTTACTTCAGCCACCACGCCCAATCGCAGCCGTTCAAGATCTAAGCGTCGCCACATTAGTTTATGAGCCTTGTCCCCTAGTCTAAGCGTTGTTGTGTTGTTGAAGTCTAAGTTGCAGGTCGTTTAGGCTCTCTCCCTCTCTCTCCTCTTTCTTCCCCCTCCTTCCCCCCCCCCCCCTCTCTCTCCTCTCTCTTCTCTCTCTTCTGCATTTTCATCTGCAAGTACTCTCAGCCTGTGAATTTCACCATTTTGGCCATTGGGTTCACAGAAAGGCCTAGTCTTTGACAAACCATCACATTTTCTCAGATACCCATTTGTGCACATTCAGCTAATTTGATAATGGTAATGTTGCTTTCTCCGTCTCTCTCTTTCTCTCTCTAGAAATGTGCACCATTTGGTCCATTTTTGAATCTCTACATTTCAATCCTCATTTTCACTTTTGGGTTTGAATTCACAGGACACAACAATGCTGGTACCTCCATGGCTGGAGCAATTGCTAAGCACCTCATTCTTCTCAGTCTGCCGTACTCATGGAGACGCAGCCAGAAGTGAGTGCAACATGTTCTGCTTAGATTGCAGTGGTGATGCTTTTTGCTTCTATTGCCGTTCCTCTAGACACAAAGATCACCAAGTCATTCAGGTAGGTCCAAATTTTTCAAAAAATCTAATCCCCTTTCTCTAATTCACCTAATCTGTTTTAACATTGTGTTTTTGCAGCGATGGATGCAAAAAAAATCCCAAATTTTGATAAAGTTTTATTCTTTTTTCCTTGTTGGGTTTTCTTTTGGCAGATAAGGAGATCTTCATACCATGATGTGGTGAGAGTTTCAGAGGTACAGAAGGTATTGGATATAAGTGGAGTTCAAACATATGTTATAAACAGTGCCAGAGTTATGTTTCTGAATGAGAGGCCTCAGCCTAAGGCTGGGAACAAAGGGGTTCCTCACATTTGTGAAATCTGTGGCAGAAGCCTCTTGGATACATTTCGTTTCTGCTCACTGGGCTGTAAGGTTAGCATCCAATTATTTCCTCTGTCTTCAAAATCAAAAGCCCCTTGTTCTTGCTTTGTTGCTTCACATTGTGCTCAAGCAACCATTGACAATGATCATTGTTTATCAGCAACATTATTGAATTGGTTTTTCGATTGGTTGAATGAATGCAAAATTTGAAGTATTAAAGTTACCATTTTTTTTTTCCAAATGATAAAAGCTTGTAGGGATAAAGAGAAATGGGGATGCAAACTTTACCTTGGAGGCAAAGAATGAGGAGGGAAATGGGAGAAGAGAAGGAAGAGGGGCAATGAGAGAGGAAGAAGAGTTGCGTGAAGGCTCACAACAAGACATATACCCGCCCACGCCGCCTCCACCTCCTTCCACAACAAGAAGAAGAAAAGGCATTCCACATAGGGCACCCTTTGGGTCCTAATTTGAAGAAATGCCCTTCAAATTTCAGCAAATTATATTCACAACCCAGCATTTGTTTTCTGCAGAAAAAACCAGTCTTTTTCTTTGCTGTCTTTGTTCAAGAAAGTGAAAGGGGGTGCAAACTACAAAGCCTTTGGAATTGGAGGTGGGGGGTCTTAAAAAAAAACAAAACAAATGGGTATATTGGTATTGGGGGTATAGAAGAAGAAGAAGAAAAGTTTGTTCCTTTTGGGTGTTGGGTCCCCAAAAACAACAAATTATCTCATTGTGAAGATGCAATAATGCATAATTGTTATTGATAGTTGCAAGGTGTACATGTCAATTAAGAAATTTAAAGCAAGTCTTTGTGGAATCAGATTTTTAGTTTTCACGGGCCCACCCACCACATGGGCCGTTTACATAAAGAAACAACAGCTTTTTATTGTTCATTGTTTATTACAAAGTAGAGAGCGTGGTAATGGGGCTAATCGACTTTTTCTTAATCCTTGCGAAGTTTGGGGAGCTCGGTGAATTCCAAGTTCATTTTTGTTGCTTTCAATTTCTGCCGATGTGACCAAAGAACTTGTGAGGATGGCTTAGTGGCAAGAGGGTAAGCATGAAACAAGAGTTATAAACTTGGACGTTCGAAATATAAATCTTATAGTAAAAGATTACTCGAGTTTACTTAGTACATGTAGTCTGCGAGTGACCGAGTTTGGAGAGCTCGATGAATGCGACATGTAGTTTTGTTCAATTCAATTTCTACCAATGTGGTCAATAAGTCTGTTGATAAGAGGGTAAGTATGAAACGAGTTCTGAATTCAGATGTTTTAAATGTTTACGAGTTGAATTCTACATTTATTTTTGTTGATGTGACTTATGAATCAATAAGAATAGTGTGGTGGTAAGAGAGTATGCATGAAACGAGCTGTAAACGCCGACGTTCTAAAATGTGAACTCTCACAAGCGAAAAAATATTCAAATTTACTTAATGCATTTAATTTGATACTAATATACGTATGAATGTATCTTAACGGCATATGTAACGAAAAAAACAAATTGTGATGTCAATTTTTAGTGAAGCAAATTAGGAGAGTGACCTATGTGGTTTTTATGGCACCGTCTAAGATTTTGCCAAGTAAGGGGGAGCGCAACATTTAGGTGGGGTGGATGTGGATTGATAGGTATTAGGGATCACATGGTGCCTCTTTGGACAGTCTAACTAAGAAGGTAGGTATATTACTACTATTTATGATATACAATTAGTGTGACCATTGACCTTTTTTTTTAACTTTCTTTTTCTAGAGATCATGATTGAACTTGACTCAACCTTTCAATAATTTTGCTATTCTTAAACAATTACAACTTACAACATAAATTTCTTTTTGTAGATAAAAAGCGATAGTAAATGAACAAAAACAAGTACAAAACAACTATCACAGTCGACTTCGTATAAATTTAATTAGAACCAAAAGTAGGAGAAGAATTACTCTTTTTTCCATCATCCCAGAAAAGAATATTCAGTTATCTCCTACGTCCTATTTTTTGTTCTCTTCATACTCATGCAAAAAAAAAAAAAAAAAAAATGACCAGTGTGATTTTCTGGTTTCTTGATTGTCTGATTTGTTCGCCATGGATTGACGTTTGATCACATCTCTCAACTCACACGCAATCTCAGTGGATGCTAAAAGTGGCATCTACTGCTGCTGACAGCTGTTACTTTTTTACATCTCTCTCAAATTGCCAGTCTTCTGATATGCTCTGTAGCAGTGTACGACAATGGCTTCTCAGAAGAAAAGGCCCATTCAATCATTACCCATGTCTAGGGTTAGCTGATTTGAGGTCCGTCAGAAGCAAGGACTGGGCCATTTTGCGACAATAATTCTTCCATCCAGGACAGAACCATAAATTCTTATGTGGGGAGAACTTTATTTATGCATGTGTTGATCTGAATGGGTAAATTTATGCTTGAGTTGGGAGTATGTAACGTTAGAAAGAAACATCAATATAATAAGTAGACGTTAACTACCCCACATGCATAAATATGATTTGATAATGAGGTACCAAAAAATGTGTTGAGTGTGAAAAAGGAAAAAATAATTTTGAACGAAGTCATCCTAGCTTCTTATTTTTCACAAATACATGAACATCCTAGTAAGGTAAAAGCACTTAATCCAACATTATATCGGCAATAGTTCGATTCTCGCCTTCAAAAATCAAAAAATATAAATAAATAAAAAAATTTCTAACAAGGAAGAACCCCTTGGCCATTAGCTATGTTGATACTCTGGCTCGATCCGCAGTTGGGAAAGAGATCTTACTAAAACTGAGGACATTCGATCTAGCTGCCTCATCGATCGTGCCTTCAACGATCCACACTGCACAAGAACCGGTTTCGATGAAGGAGGAGAAGAAGGAGAAGAAGATGATGAAGATGAAGAAGAGGGCTTGTCATCACTTTCTCTGTATATGTCAATAAGAACATGGGATTGATCCAAAGACAAAGACCTCTCCAACACCTTCACAAAACTTTGCTGCTTATTATGCTCCTCTATAGGCAACACCACCAGAGACACACAATGCCTAAGCAAACAATTTGGTTTTGGTAATTGGGTTGAATTCGTAGTAGTAATACAAGTGCTAAGCACACCCTGCTCTGGATCATGAGGGTGTGGTGAGTAATTAACCCTGGTTTCGGCTTCTGCTTCTGCTTCCACTTCTCTGTCTCTAACTTGATCATGATCATGATCATTTTCCGCAGGCAATGCTGCCACAGAGGCAATAGGCACAGCTATGGCTGCCCTACAAACTGGACAATTTGTATGTCCCAAAAACCATTTGTCTATGCATGGATTGTGGAACACATGCTTGCAGTTGGGCAACAAACGCACCATATCTCCATCTTCTAGCTCACCCAAGCAAATCACACACTCGCTTTGATCGACCCGAAAAAGTTCACAACTTTTGGTTGAGTACGAGAGAGTTGGGATTGAACTTAGGACTTTCTCATCAACCCCATTGGATTGGCTGATTGGTGGTTGCTGTGAGAGGCTTGCTTGTAATTGCATCTGCATCAGCCTCTGCCTCCTCCTGAGGCAGAACCTAACCACAATGAAATGGTATGCAACTATTGCTAGGGTTGTGGAGACTATGCCTCCCATGGAAATCAAAAGGGGTGTGAAGTAAGATCCTGAGGGTGCAGCTCCTCCCACTTGAGACCCAACATTCTCCATCTCTCATTTCAATTTGGGTTTTGTTTGGTTTTTGTTTTTGGTTTTGGTCTTTAAAACTATGCCACTACGACACTTGGCTGTGAAAATATATATAACCACAAAAGAGTGTAGAGAGCACCCTTTGATTTCGAAATTGTATGCAATAAATTTGGGATATGATGATTCGATGCGTTGAGTGTTTCAAGTGGTTTACACGTAGCTGTTCTGGTGTGGTCACTGAGAGAGGAGCAGTTTTGTGGTACTGCTTTGCCCCAAGTGTAAGCATCAGAAGCAAAATGGTAAAATTTGCGATGATTTTAATATTGAAATTATGATTTTTTTTGAGTGAGTGGGTATCAATATTAATAAAAGACGATAGATCGAGACAAGAAAGATTTGGTCCGTTGGAGAAGTTTAGGCAGTGCACCTACTTTGTTTAAATTTTGTATGTGAGTTTGGACAGTTGGATTGTTTAAGGGGACAGGTCACAACCTTACAGATGATGAGTAGGTGCGGATTTATAGAGATTTCTTCCTTCTCCAATGAAGCAAGAATATTGACTTGGGAGCCATGGAGCCTCCGTCATCTGTGGCTTTTTGTGGCGTGTGTTGTTGGGTTACGGTGGATGCTGACAATTTTCCCACACAAGAAGAACCCATCTAGAAGCAATATTTTGTGTTTAAACTTTGGTCTCTGTCTGATTTGGAATATCTGGTTTTGTTGCTGACGCCGATCCAGAGCCTAGGATAGTAGGCATGTTTGAAATCCATGACAGAATGTCAAGATCTCTGTTTCAACATTACTTTGAAACTTATCTTCGTAAACTCGTGCCAGTTTCAATTTCCATTAGTAAAAGAAAGAACATTCAATAAGAAAAACGGGTTTTATGCCATTAGATTCTCACAACAAATGGGTCTAAGGTGGATAAAATGTGTCTACTATGGGCCATCTTCACCAAATTGAGGTCCAAGCTGTGGTGGCTTGTGCCTATTTTCTAAGGAGCCAAGACAATGAAAACAAGGCAAGAATATTACAATTTCCTACCAAGGTAGGCTGTCTGATTCACATATGTAATAATAGGTTTCAAATTTACATTCATCTCCCAATAGTGTTAAGTTCCCTTAAGACATAAATGGGTCTAGCCTAGTGGAAAATAACCTTAACTTGCATATCAGTGGTCTCAGGTTCGAACCCACATGACACTTTGATAATGTGTGTGTGTGTGAGAGAGAACCTCTATCCCCGTATAGTTTAGATTATCGATTGTATTTAGAAAAAAATGTTCCCTTAAGACAAATGAGAAGTTTTTCTCTTGCCAAGATTCTTCTTTCCTACTAGTCTCTTGAGGAAGCCAACCTGGGATTAGGAGGTGGGTTATCCAAAGTCAAGAGCCACAACACCAATTTCTTTGATGTCTCAATAAAAAAATTATCTTTGAGGCATGGTGGAGTATAATGAAGAAATTTGTAAAGTTATAATAAAGAAAGAAAGCTATGTAATTTACTCTGAAGCATTTTTCAAATGTTTGATTAAGAAATAATAATGACGGAGATTAATGTGTAGAAAGAATGGTATTGTAATCTCCTTAGCATCATCAAAGAAGACTCTATAATTTACTCTGACATTTTATTCAAATGTATGATTAAGAAGATACAATATATTAAGGATTATTAGACTTGTATTGTCATCTAGCTCTTGATCCAAGACAGAGAAAAGTCATACAATAACTTTGTGGGACTTGACCAATAACCACCACTCATCATCCATCTCAAACAGATACCACAGATTCCATGCTCATCTGGAATCCCAGTGAATCATGGTGCCCAAAAGTCTTAACTTCAATCTCCATCTTCATCCCCACCCCTCTTTTCCCTCTGCAATTTCCAGAATTAATCCAAGACCTTCTAACTTTGTCACCACCACACCTTTATTGTCATCAACTACCATAACTATCAGATCCAATACAATCCATGACCAAGCCAATTTCCACCATCTTCCACTTGGAAGAAGCCCCATTTTCACCACCATGGCATCAACCCAACACAACCCAAGTCCCAATTCGATGAGTTCGAATCCGATCCCACGCTTACAAATGACGATCTCAAGCCAACAACACTTGATCAAAGGACTTTCTCCAGGTGGGAATTGGCTAGTCTTTGGGTAGGACTAGTTGTTGGGGTGCCAACTTACTATTTAGCTGGTAGTCTTGTTGACCTTGGCATGGCTTGGTGGCAAGGAATTGCAACAGTTGTAGCAGCCAACTTAATACTATTAGTCCCATTGGTCCTCACTGGTCATCCAGGGACAAAATATGGGATCTCTTTCCCAGTTTTAGCTCGTTCCTCATTTGGTATTTATGGTGCTCATATTCCCACTCTTCTTAGAGCCTTGGTTGGTTGTGGTTGGTATGGAATTGAGACTTGGATTGGTGGTGAAGCCATTTTCATTTTGCTTCCAAATTCAATCAAACAGTCCTCTTTGTCTCAGGTCTTACCTTGGCTTGGCACATCACCATTGGAATTTGGTTGTTTTATTGTGTTTTGGCTTGCCCAATTGGCCATTGTTTGGAAAGGAATGGATGGAATTAGGGAACTTGAGAAATACTCAGCTCCAGTTCTCATCGCACTCACTTCCTGCCTTCTCATTTGGGCTTATGTCAAAGCTGGTGGTTTCAGCCACATGCTTTCCTTGTCCTCTAGGCTCACCTCCAAGCAATTTTGGTCCCTCTTTTTCCCCTCCTTAACTGCTAATATAAGCTTTTGGGCTACTCTTGCTCTTAACATACCAGATTTCACCAGATATGCCAAGAGCCAGACTGACCAAATCATCGGTCAAGCCGGGCTACCAATCTTCATGGGAGCATTCACATTTGTTGGCCTAGCTGTAACCTGCTCGACAGAAGTGATTTTCGGGCGTGTCATTTCGAATCCGATTCAACTTCTCGGGCAAATTGGAGGGTTCACAACGATCATCCTAGCCATTTTTGGTGTTAGCCTTGCCACCCTCACAACCAACATTGCAGCCAATGTTGTGGCCCCTGCAAACGCTCTTGTGAATCTCAGCCCTTCGAAGTTCACCTTCAGAAGAGGAGCTATTCTCACAGCTTTGCTTGGAATTGCATTTCAGCCATGGAGGCTTCTCAAGTCAAGTGAGAGCTTTGTGTACACATGGCTAGTTGGATACTCTGCTCTGTTGGGTCCAATTGGAGGCATAATTCTAGCAGATTACTATCTTATCCATAAGAAAAACCTAAGCATGAAGGACTTGTACTCAGTAAGTCCTTTTGGGGACTATTATTATTCAGGAGGCTACAATTTGGCAGCAATGGCAGCTCTTGTTGTTGGGATTTTGCCTGTGGTTCCAGGCTTCTTGCAAAAAATTGGTCTTGTTTCTTCAATATCAGATGCTTATGTGATCATCTACAACAATGCCTGGTTTTTCAGCTTTTTCTCTGCCGGTTTGCTCTACTGGCTTCTGTCAAGTTTGACAAGAAAACAGAACTCTCTGCCTACAGAAGAACCCCTCTTGCCTCCTGCAAACTAAAGGTTTCTATTTTCCAATTTTTATTCAACACAATAAACTTGCATACAATTTGTAAAGATGAACATTTTTCTTGACACATTTTCTGTATAATAAGGCATCTGTAGGTTGTACTTCAAATTAATAATACTTTCAACATTTATGAGCAATGCATTATTTGGTGTATGGTCCTCTCAGTTATCAACAAATTATGGGAATAGCAAGTGGCCAGTAGTTGGCCATGTTGTGCATCTTGCAGCTTGGAAACCGCAAGAGAGAGAGAGAGAGAGGGTTTAAGGGTTTCGTTAATGGGAAAGCACCCATAATATACTCAGGGCACCCAAAAACGTATACGAACCCCTTCTTAAATATGATAATCCTATGCTAATACCCTGTTTTATTCAGTCATACCAATGAAGTAATATACATTGTGAATTGTTGTATTACGATGAATGAGATCGCACTGTTTCGCCGGTTTCACATATCTTTAATCAGGGTCGGCCTTGGCCCAGGACCAGCAGGATAAGAGCTCAGGGCCCAACAAGTAAAGGGGCGCATAAAAATACAATTTTATCCCATATATATAGGAAGACGTACTTTAAGATGTGAGGTCTCTCTCTCTCTCTCTCTCTCTCTCTCTCTCTCTCTCTCTCTCTCTCCCTATGTATATATATATGTATGTGGTTATGCTCATTATTTTGATTTTTTATTTGATTGAGTCTGGTCTATTTGTCTGACGTTAATTGAAAGAATGATTATATTTTACAAATCAATGGAATAGCCATAGAAGAAACATACATATTCTGAATTTCTTACCTTAATGAAGTTGGTAATTCCCCTCCATTTATTTTTTTCTGGGGTCTTCATTTTCACTTTTTTTTTCCCTGGTCCTATGCATTTCACAGCTCTTCTATTGTTGTGTATCCAATTTGTTTATTATGTTTTAGTATTTTGGGTTCTTGTGGGGTGCTTCCAAATATTTGGAGAAACTATATGATATTTTTTAAATTGGTTTACTGGGATTGAAATGAATGTATGATTTTGTGAAACATACATAACACATGTTAGCTTTCCTTTCCGGACAATGTTTTAAAAAGGCCCAAAAGAAATTAATTAGTTGAGAGAGAAAAAAAGGGGGCAAATTTAGTGTTAGGGTGTGCTCTTAGAGGGGCACAATCTAGAGTTTAGCCCCGAGTTCTGAGTGGGACGGCATGTCACCATGGCCGCTGCTTTTGACTAATCAACCTTGCTTTTCATGGCTTCTTTTTTGTTTGCTTTACGGCGGACATAAGCATAAGATTCTTGGAGCCTACGTATAGGGTCCTACCTCAAAATTTCTCCTCGAACTTGATCAAATTCGGCGTCTAATCCAGCCAAAAAGATAAACAAATTGCTTATCATGGATGTTGATTTTCATTTCATCAGGGAGAGAGTTCAATGTAAAGATCTTAGTGTGCAAAATGTTCCCACCGATGAACAAATTGCTGACATTCTTACTAAAGGTATTCACAGTCCCATACTTCGAAAACATTGTTTCAATCTCAGCCTTGGTCCTTCCCCAGCTAAGCTTGAGGGGGGATGTTAAGAGTAGTCACAGATTATGCTGATGTGGCACTTATGAGCTGGCAACAGCTCAGATGCTGATGTGGCCAGTTCGTTAAATAGTTCATGTCTTTAGTTAGATGTGTAGTTAAAGTTGTTACTAAACTTACTTAGTGGAGAAGTAATCTCTAGTCTCTATATAAGCATCAGTTCTAGGCTATTCAATGTAATGAAAGAACACAATTCAGAGCCTCTCTTCCTTCTTCTTTCTTTCTCTTACTCTAATAGATTCTTTCCACCATAGTTAACAGGCAGTACTTCTATTACTTTCAATCATCCGGAGTTTTCGGAAGATGTCACAAGGTCAAATAAATTCCTCTTTCTTTCTTTCTTTTTTATATTAAAAAAAAAACCAATAATTACGTATATATGGCTAGTTTCTAATACATGAACATATTTTTCTACTAATTTCATGCATGGTGAAGAAATCTATCTCTTCTATTATTAAGACTAATTGGTTTGCATATATTGAGCTTAAACTATGCAAAATCATTTTTCTGTAATTTTTCTTAAGTTGAGGAATTACATTGACCATAGTCTTAGAGAGATTAATGATTCTCAAATATTTAGGTTTTGTATACATACGTTTGTCATACATGTATGCTTTAGAAAGAGATTATTGAAACTTTAAAAACTGATGAAGGGTCAGTTTCCAGTAATACCATAGGTATAAATTATCTTAAACTTGGAAGTATTAACCATAAATAAATATATTTGTACGTAGTTTTTGTGATAATTCCTCCATTTTCAATTTTGTTTAAAGAAAGACGATACATTGCATTCATGATTCAGACCGAAAGACGATCAGTCCATCTAATTAGATATCTAATAATTCCTTCATTCCTATGTAATTACCTTATTAGTTCCTCCAACAGTAAAGGTAAAATTGACCATCAAACTATATTGAACGCGGCTCTAGATTTGAAACATAACTACCACCCATTTGAATTCGAGAAACTTGAAGTAATTGAAGCAATCGATGGTCCAAAATTAAAATCCGACAAAAACAAAAACAATGAATTTGAAAGAGGAACACCAGTAGTGAGGCGTGGACTATATATAGGAAAGCACATAAAATATAAGGCATACATGTACGAACGCATAAAATATTGAGGATCTGACGTGGATACGAAGCATGCAACGAATGAGGTCCAAAAGGACAAAATTATGCAGAATTTAACTGGGGAGCACAAACCATTATTTGACCCTCGAACCAGCTTCCCTCGTCACCCCTACCCACACACAAGGGTCGTTGCCTGTTTTGCATGGTAGGGTTGTATTGACTTAGAGAGAGAGACAGAGAGGTCCTACAATTCTGGGTCACTCGTGCTTAACAGTTCAATAATATAAGGATTTATTAAGGGGCATTGAGGGAATTCGATAGGAAACACCCCTAAGTTTGGATCGTTGAGAAAAATACTTAATGAAATATTAATATATAGTATCTTATTAATACATCTAATATATAGTATCTTCTTATACCCTACTAATAAAATTATTTATTTTTCACATCTTCATTCAAAGATCATTCTTGCAAAAAATCATGCAAATTGAAAATCATTAAGACATCTAATTATTGAGACAAAAAAAATTAATAAACACGGTACTTCAAGAAAGTACTTAAATTTCAATAATTCAATTGAATGATCAAATGATATCGAATTCAAGTGATTTTTTATAGAGATGATCTTTAAATGAATATCTACAAAATAGACGGTTTGGATTAATGAAATATAAGGCAAAGTGAATCCTACAAGAGTGTATCTCAAATAAGCTTATTTGAGTGATCCCTCAACAGAAACTTATATATATATATAGAACTTCCATTTAGGAATCCCTCAAATAAGCTTATTCGAGGGACATCCCTTATAGGCCCCATTCCGGATTGTATTTTACTAATCCAAACCAACTATTTTGTAGATACTCATTCAAAGATCATCTCTACAAAAAATTACTTGAATCCGATATCATTTGACCACTCATTTGAGTTATTGAAATTTTAGTACTTTCTTCAAGCACCGTGTTCTTTGATTTTGTAAGGCACAATTGGATGTCGAAACGGTTTCTGATTTGTCTAATTTTTTGTAAGGATGATCTATGAATGAAGACCTAAAAAATAGATGGTTTGGATCATTAGGGGGAAAAAATGGTAGGGTACCCTTAAAGGCGTCCCTCAAATAAAATTATTTGAGGGATCCCTTAATAGAAGGGGATTGTATATATATATATATATATATATATATATATAGCTGTAGTTATAGATTAGCTAGTTAGGATATATTTTAATCTGTAACCAAACTTGGTTTTTTGTTAGCTAGGGTTCACCTAATCTAACAACTAATAAATCCAACAAGAAATTAAAATTGCTAATTACAAGGAAAACAGTATCAATATCTGCCTCCTCCTGGCAGTGGCCAGCAGGGCCTAACTTATATATAAGATGGGAGTTAGTTGGACTAAATTACAAACCCTAGCTAGCCATCGACTGCGGAAATTTCCTCATATAATAAGAATATATGCACGCCCACGTTTAGAAAAACTTATCATAATTAAAAAAAAATTAGAGACACTAATTTAAGTACACAGTTTGAGCTTATCATAATTATAAAAAATAAAAAAAATTACGTACAATCATTAATCTAAAGCACAAGTTTGAGCTTAACAGCTGTATGCATGGATAAGTTTGTCACTAAGGAGTGTCATTATGACATTTTCTGTGTTTTATTTATTTATAATTATTCTTTGTGGGTTAGAGGAGAACAAGATTAATTGGTGCCCTAATTAAACCAATAATTAATTAATTAATTAATTAATTACGTACTTAATATATAGTGCCATTTGCTGCCACATGGGGGCATTGGCTTTATCACATATGAATTACATCATATAGATTATGATCGGACGTCACAAAGAAAATGGGGCAATGACTCAGCCAGAAAATATAACCCACAACAAAATGTCAACAATCGATCACGACTGGCTGCCAGGTCTCCATGCAAAAGGTTTTACTAGCACACCTACATACATATTTAATTCAGATGAATCTAGATAGTCTACGTTTTGTGCAGGGGAAGAATTCAGATCGAGAATTATTATTAATTATTGGGTTGAGTTTTTCTGCTGTAATTGATTAATTTCAGAGAAGAATCGATCGCGCTTCTGTACATGAGTGAGTATAGTAGTATTATTTTGTTCACTTGAAGTTGAAAAAAGTAAACCTAATAGCTAATAAACGCACTAAAAAAATGTTAATGTCTCAAAGGACCCATTAGTGTAGTGGTTTGGAGCAATTGCTTTCCTAAAAAAGATCATGGATTCGAGTCCTAAGAGCACCTCTACCCCAAATGACAAGGGTAAGACAAAGACAAGACAATGTTTGACACTATTCACATGAATAGTGGCAGCTTTGCTGTTTTTGGTTCCACCTCAAAGGGCAAGGGCAAAGGCAATTACTGTTCACATGAGATATGAGGAGATAAATTTGTATAGAGTTTTTGGTGTGGGAAGTAAAAAATATGGCTAGTTATTTATAAAATAAAATAAAAATTCTGGAATTTTTTTGTATTTTTTTCAATTTTTTTGGTTGCTGATGTCATTATGACGTCATCATTGAATCATTCTGCCCAGGCAGCAACTTGGGTTGAATTTACCCATGGGCTTGCTTGGGCTTGTGGGACCCAGCTCTTGCCAGGACTGAACCTTGTGCGCTAGAGGGGGTTTTGGAGCCTGGGGTTGCCTTTTGCTTGGGCTGAATCCAAGCACTAGAGGTGCTCTAACACTCGTGTTGAGTGCATGAGTTTAGTGTATTATCACCCCTTGTGATCAACACTTCATACACATTATACCACCCATTGGCTTCAAATGCACAAAATTAATAATTCTATTTGGCTCTTGGCCTGTGAAGGGCAATAAGCCTCTCTTTGAGGTAATCATATATTTTTTTGGTAAATAGGGATATGACCAAAATTGTTATTTGATTCGTGATCTATCACCTAATCTTGACTCATCCATCTTGACTAGCTAGCCTTTTGCTATCTAGGGGCTAAGGGCTTGAGATATCTTCATCTATGAAATATCTTTTTGACTAAAGATATGATATTTACAAACTATGATTTACTTTTATGACGGGCCAATAAAATCACAATAAAGCTACAGCACCAAGGGTTTGCCACCCACAATTAAGTATGTTGAATTTACTACAATTGTATATCATCATCATCATCCATGTGAACTTGAGACTTCATCCAACCAAGTTGAAGCAAATACCACCAGACTAAAGGCTAGTTGGTCATGAAATCTGATTTCCTTTTTGTTTTTAAGTTGTACTTCTTTTTATACAATCGATAAGGGAAAAGGGGAATTGAACCTAGAACCTCATGTGCAGCCACTTTTGAGTTATTTGGAAATTGATAAAGACTTTTAACTTTATACACACACACACACACATATAGCTTCTATCGAGGGATTTCTCAAATAAGCTTATTTGAGGGACACCCCTTGTAGGCCCCACTCCGGATTGTATATTACTAATTCAAACTATATATTTTGTAGATACTCATTCAAAGATCATCTCTACAAAAAATCACTTGAATCCGATATCATTTGACCACTTAATTGAGTTATTGAAATTTTAGTACTTTCTTGAAGTATCGTGTTTATTGATTTTGTAAGACACGATTGGATGTCGAAACGGCTTCCGATTTGTCTAATTTTTTGTAAGGATGATCTATGAATGAAGACCTAAAAAATAGATTGTTTGGATTATTGAAAAAACAAATTGTAGGGTACCCTAAAGGGCGTCATTCAAATAAAATTATTTGAGGAATCCTTCAATATATATATTGGAAATTTCCCAATATATATATATATATATATATAAAAGATATAAAGATCCAGCTATCCTGAAAGCTAGATCCATAATCTATGAATAAATTGAACTAAAAAACTTCTATGATAAAGGGAAGCCTATTAGTATTAAGGAAAAAAAGAAGACCTACATATTCGGTTGGACCGACATATATGGTGACAAGCAGAAAGTCGTTTAACGTTCATTAGACGTCGGATAGTGCTAACCAATAATAACAAGTTTGTGTGGACTCAACGAAAGTAGTGACAAAAAAGCGAGATAAAGCTTTGCAACTTGCCAATCCTTTGCGAGTGATTTACAACCATTGCCTCTCAAGAAAATCGTCGTTTTTCCTTTGGATTCTTCGACAGATGTTTGTACGTATATTCACCTGCTTTCTAACTCTTATAACAACGGATTACTATATAAAATTCATACATATTCCTTTGGATTCTTCGAAAATTACGTAATTTGTAAATATATTTAAAAATTTACACAAACATGTGAGTATCTAATACGCAAAACCATATATATGTACATTTTGATATTGTTTCAATTAGTGTGTTCGAATGAAGAATGCACATTATAGACCACGTCGCTAATAGAAATAAACGAATGTGGTTACTAGTAAATGTAGTAGTTTTATTAATTTTCTATTTCTTACGGTTGAAAAAGAAGAAGAAGAAGAATCGACCAATGCCTAACTTGATTTTACTTCAAATCATCCTAAAAAATGGCATCATTCATAGAATGAGTCCTAAATGAAAAGTTAAGGTATAAACACAACAAAAAATTACGGCAAGACAACTCATGGATAGATGGAGATTGTGGTGTACTACCAAAGGCTTGGTAAAGTGAAAACCATGTGTTGAATTTTGAGTTTGACCATGATTATGGAAATTCTATACTATAATATTATTAACCAAAAAAAAAAAAAAAAAAAAAAAAAAAAAAAATAATAAAGAAATGAACCTTGTTTCATACCAAAATAAGTAAACCAAAATAAGTAAACCAATAAATAAAATCAATTAAATGTATTAAAATAAAATAAATAAATAAATAAAAAACCATTATGACCCAAAGATGGAAAGGGACCCTAGCGAGCTGCTTAATAATTAATCTATATGTGATGAGCTGCATGCCAAAGTCAGCCATGGTATCCTGCCGTTTTAAATACTTCGAAGGAAAGAGAGATGATGAACAGTAGGAAGGCTCTAGGAAAAAGAGGACAAAGCTGCCTCTATACCTCTTGTCCCTACAACCTCGTGTGTTCTGACTCAATTTTTTTTTAAATTTGTCAACGGTTTCATTGTATCCATGGAACCAGTCCTCCGGATTCGAAAAAACCGAAACCGGTTTCTCAAAAACTTGCTCCTGTACATGTCAAGTCCTTTGCCTGTTTTTCCTCTATATATCCCTCCAAAACTTTCCCGTTATCCACCATCTCCATTTCCTCCTTGTTTATTCCCACTATACTTTCCTTTTATTATCTTTCTCTTTTTCGGAAAAAGATAGGTGTGAGGTAGTTATACGAATGTCCTAACTGTTTCTATTCAATTTTCCTTTCGCAAACACAGTACATCCCACGTCTACACAGATAAAAAGTTTGTCTACCTGTGTGGGATAGGATGTATGTATACGCGTTCCTCTCACAATCATGTGGTTGTGTTGCGGCCGTATACAAGTTTGTGATACAAGAAATTTAACATAATTTTCCTTAATCATGGTTGCAGCCTTTCAGGATTAGCTTTTGGAATACTCCATGTCTCCAACAATGGCAGTGCTGACAACTGAGAATGGGGAAAGTCAGTACCAGAATGGAGTGAAGCAGTTGTACGAGAGTGGAATAAGCAAAGTTCCAAGCAAGTATGTATTGCCCATTTTGGATCGACCCAATACAAGTGACCAGAAACCAAATGTATCCAACCAAAATCTCAAGCTCCCCGTCATTGATTTCAAGGAATTGCAGGGTCCAAATAAAGCCCAAGTCCTCAAGTCCCTGGCTAATGCTTGTGAGCAATATGGCTTCTTTCAGGTAGGTCTTAATTAGTAACTCTTAATTAGGCACATATTGAGCTTGTAAATGAGTTTAACATCTTAAACCATCAAAGTAATTGGTGATTTGTGGGTTCATGCAGTTGGTAAACCATAGCATTCCAAGTGATGTTATAAGCAGCATGATCGACGTGAGCACAAGGTTCTTCGAGCTCCCTTTTGAGGAGAGGGCCAAGTACATGTCCTCGGATATGCATGCTCCTGTTCGATATGGAACTAGCTTTAACCAGAACAAGGATAAGGTGTTTTGCTGGAGAGACTTCTTGAAGCTAATGTGCCATCCTTTACCAGATGTCCTTCCTCATTGGCCTTCTTCACCGGTGGATATGAGGTGAGAGCTAGCTCAACCTAAAGCATGGTTTTTTGTGGTACAATGGGATATGATCGAAGTCACGTGACCTATTATAATTTTAACTTTTTGCTTCACTCTTATCACTTTTGTTTTAACGAATCTTGCATATGTGTTATATTTACAGACTACATTCATCACATTTCTAAAATAATGAATCCAATTGGCATATGTGAGTCTCACATGTATTACGAGTCTACTAGAAATTGGTCAATTAGCGTCATACAAATAGTTGTATTGGTAGATTATTTAACTCTTCTCTCCTCCTATGTGGGTAAGTGTGCGCTTAAAGTATTTGTTAAGATATATTATAACCCCCTAGAATTTGGAGCTGTCCTTGCTCGTGAGAGGCCACATCTAATCGCTAGCTCCTTATACCCTAGTTGAGCAATTAGTTTAATTCTTAATGAACCAATAATTACAATTCTAAAATGATAAATTTGAATCATCTTCTAGCTATATTCATTTATACATATTGTTGTGAGATTAAATATATTGATTGGTTTCTACTCCATAGGAAATTGGCGGCTACCTACGCACAAGAAACCAAATACTTATTCCTAATGCTAATGGAAGCCATCTTTGAGAGCTTGCGACTTGTGGGAACCACAGAGAACAACACGACAGAAGAAGATGAGATGTTAAAAGAATTCCAAGATGGGAGCCAGCTAATGGTTGTCAATTGCTACCCGCCATGCCCCCAACCGGATCTAACCCTAGGGATGCCTCCCCACTCTGATTATGGCTTCCTCACACTTCTTCTCCAAGATGAAGTTGAAGGACTTCAAATCCAAAAACAAGATCAATGGGTCACCGTTGAACCAATCCCCAATTCTTTTGTGGTCAACGTTGGTGATCACCTTGAGGTGAGTTTAATAATTATTGGGTCAGTGTTTATTTGGTCACTTAAAAGTTATGTGCTACATGCATTGGATCACATTTAAATTACATTGACGAATTGGTTATTATATAATTCATTAGCTAGTCTTATCTCCATTAGAGACGTAATCAACATATGAATGTAGAATACACATGAGTTTCACCTTCATGAGTTCTGTAATTAATGTAATCATCAAATGTGACATGTAACACAACTCTAATTTATTGTATTCTTTTAATGTATATCCTCATGTACCGTATCGTTGACTTGGTTTTTGTTGTGACAGATATTTAGCAATGGAAAATACAAGAGTGTTCTACATAGAGTCTTGGTGAATTCTACAAAAAGTCGGATTTCAGTGGCCTCTTTGCATACGCTACCTTTCATGCGATCAGTTGGACCGTCGCCGAAACTTGTCAATGAATCAAATCCAAGGCTTTACAAGGACACTGATTTTGCCAGCTTCTTAGAGTATATTTCATCTCGTGAGCCTGAGAGGAAGAATTTCCTTGAGTCTAGGAAATTATTTACTTAATTTAAAAAAAAAATAAAAAAAAAATATGCATGGAGCTGCCAACAACTGGTGGAAAATCTGCCTCGTTCGTTGACTTGTAGCAGTTCGAATTATATATGTAGCAATGAGTATTTGGAAATTAATTTTCTCCTGTATATAATTTCCTTTTTCTTTTTTGTATTTTGAACGTATTTTTTTACAAATTATGGGTTTTTTTTTAAACTCTCGTTGTCACAAGGTTTTTTTAATTTTTTATAATGAAGCATTTGAACCTTTAATAAAAGCGCTTATGATCACAAATACTTCCACATAAACATTCCTAAACATACCCTTAAACTCAATTGTTTCTTTCATATCCATTCGAAAGCACTCCTGAAAAGAGGGACTAGTCCAAACAAGCCCTTGTATTGATTCATCTCTTGAAGTTACAGCAAAATCTGAACTCACATCACTGTTGCATGCTTGCGTATGCATTGACAAGGTCAAGTTTATATATAAGTTGACAAAGCTTTCTAAACGATTTTTTTTTGTTTGGTCAGCATCTTTTTTAAAAGCACTTAATTAGGAGCGACTTTCTTAAATATCATTTGAAAAATACAATGCAATTACAAAGGTTCATGCATATATACATACATATATATATATATATATATATATTGTACGAAATCATATGAAGGAAGTCGTTGAGAGTAGAAAAAGACAGGTACCGGTTTACTTGGCCAACTCATTGAATAGCTTCAGGCTCCTAGAGTCCTAGGGCTGTCCACTGGTGGTGCAGTCGGTAGAAGATGCTCCACGTTTTTTTGTTTCTTTTCAAAAGTTAAAGATAGATGAAAAATAAACAATAAAAATATTTACAGTCTTGGGATGAATTTGAGTTAAAAAATGACTTGAAAGTGGGTTTAACCAACGGCAGACTCATGAATTTTTATAGGGCTAGGCTAAATTTTTTTAATATTTTTTATAAGAGATATATTATAAGTCTTTTTTCTCTTGAAACAAAAATGTGAATAAAATTTTATAAATCAAATAAGGCCACATTACGAGCAAATATAACACAAAGACGTACAAAATATAAATAAATACCAAATCAAACACATTGTTCAACTACTTGAGATCTTAGTTGAGAAAGTTCCTTAGGAATTGAAGTATCAACATTATATGCAAAAGGTGTATCTTTGTTATCCCGTTACCACTTTTTTTGAAGAATGAATAATTTTTTCATCTCTTTGCCGGTCTATTATTATCATATGACATGATATCCAAACAAGAAATACTAGACACTAAAAATCATATATGCTAATAAATAACTCAAGTTGCAAAAATAAAACATATATCAACAATCCCCAAAGCCAAACCCTAAAAAGTTAACAACAACAAAATTAAAATTGGAAATTTTTTTTTTTTTTTTTTTTTTTTTAGAAGAGAAAAACTTACCAAGATTGAAGAAGTCAATGAAGATAGGTTGGTAAAATTTTTTAGAGGGGGAGAGCTATTTCTTTTAGGCTCTCAAAGTTCAAATATGGCGTTTTCGGTGGCTAGAAGAAAAATTCTGATGTTTGCTTCTAATCAAATGTTATGGATTGCATGTTTACTATTTCCTACATGCTTCAAGAGTGGGCTTATTTCTACATAGAGAGCTAGGTTTATTTAAATAAATAAAGGATTATTCTTACTTTACTTCACTAATTTAGCTTAATTATTATACCTTAAACTTACTTACAAAAAAAAAAAAAAAAAAAAAAAAAAAAAAAAAAAAAAAAAATTCAGCTGAGCTGGAGCTCACTCCAACCCAAGTGTAGATCCGCCTATGAGTTTAATTTGTATCTAGATGTTCTAGTTCGTTTTGGATGTTCATGATAATTTTTTAATTCTCATATGATTAGGAATGGGTCGGGAAATTATGTAGCTTCTTTTTTCATCGAGAGGAAGATGAAGATTTCAAATTTATGATACTTTAACCTAATATTTGAAAGAAAAATATCATTAGAGACCAATAGATGTTTATGAGAAATCATGTGGTTAATTGCATTTTTAAACAATTCCAATAAAAAGATGTGGTTGATCACCCACTACTCATTCAACAGAAATTGGATTGAATTTTGATCAACGAAAACTTTTGACAATATTCAAACAGTTTTAGGTCAAAATTTCTGTAGCTGAATTTCAGCATAGATGGCTTTGATTAGACCCATGTTTCTAGGCCGACACATGTTCTTGACTTGGACAAAAATGGTCTCGCTAGCGTAGCCACGAGATGGTTGTTGGCTGGAATTGACTAGGACAAATTATCAACTGTCAAACAAAGGGCCCATTTAAGTATATGTTCCCTATTCAATTTCAATGTAACCAAAGCAAGAGTTTGAAGAGAAGATTGATCCATGAGTTGGGAGAGAATGAGATGGAGATTGGAGAAAAAAGAGTATTTTTGCTCATCATTTTAACCGAAGACACTATCTTCTCAATATTTGGCACATGTTCATGGACATAATCACGATTCTATAAATACAAAATAAAGAGTTAATTATGGTTATTTCTATGGATACATGTTAAACATTAATGAAGGTGGTAAGGGTATACATTTAGTTAAAGTGATGAGCAAAAATATTTTCTTGGAGAAAACGAATAGGAGTCAAGAATGGAAAAGTTGAATCAAGTTTTGTATTGTTAGTAGTTGTAATTTAAATGAACATATAAACTTCTTATATACGAGAAAACAAAAAATCTAAGAAATACATGTTAAGGGAACCAATTAGCTCTTGATTCTAGTGAGATTTATCTTGTAAATGTAAGAAATGGTCACAAATTACAAGTTAAACCATCGTATAATTCGATGTAAAAGGGAAAAAAACCAATAGCATGTTTACTTGCATGTAATTGGTATTTGAATTATTCTTCTTCCTTTTTTTTCATTTAGTAATAATGGCGATTGTGTTTACTAACATTCAGGTATTAGAATTATTTTAATTTCTCAATTTCTCCGTGTTTATTGACAAGAAAGGAATACAAAATTATGTAAATTAAAACCAAGAATTAGATTGATAGGGGAAGTAATTGATCTCATACTCGTTCATTCTCTCCCGTATTTCTTGCTTACTCAATTCATGACTTTCACTATATCAAATAAGTAAACATACCATAAAGAGGAAGAAAAATTGGGTCGGTCGAAAAAGCTTGGGCCAAGAGTCGGATTTTGGCCGAAGATTTGGAAGTTCATTCTTGGCCCATGAATCAACGTAAGCCCAATCGAAGCCTACATAAAGCTGGACCAAAATATCTAAAGACTGTGGGAGTTGCTTACCGAATTGCATATAGTCAGTTATCTTTCTTAGTTACGGTTAGTTATCTTCAACTTTGAAACAACACTGGCGTCGTACACTCTCACTCCTCCAGAAAAGCCATGCCTCAATCTCTCTCCTTCTCCTCCTTCTCTCTCCTCCCAACCCCTTCTTCTCTCAAACGCACCACCCAATTTCACTCCGTCTCCGTCAAAGCCTCCATACACAAAGAACCCACATCAGGCTCCAAGCCCACAACCACCTCCACCACTACTACAAGCTCCAAGCCCAGTTCGTGGGTCAGCCCGAATTGGCTCACCTCGCTCACCCGGACCCTGACCATATCCAAAAACGACGACTCGGGCATACCCATTGCCAGTGCTCAGCTGGAGGACGTCTCTGAGCTTCTGGGTGGTGCTCTGTTTCTGCCTCTGTTCAAATGGATGAACCAGTACGGTCCAATTTACAGGCTTGCAGCTGGGCCTAGAAACTTCGTGGTGGTCAGTGACCCTGCTATTGCTAAGCATGTGCTGAGGAATTATGGCAAGTATGAGAAGGGTCTTGTTGCTGAGGTCTCTGAGTTTTTGTTCGGTTCTGGTTTTGCAATCGCTGAAGGCCCACTTTGGACGGTAATGCTATTCAATTTATTGCTGAAACAAAACAAAATATATATTCAATAATTGAAATTTGTTTAATTTCAGATATAAGTGGTGTAGTTTGTTCTAGTATACATGGCTCTATTTTTGTGTTTTGTATGATTGTTAATAATGTGTCACCTTTACCTTATGTTTTTTTATTTATTTTTAGAATGTGTGAAAATTCTTTTGCAATATGTGTGATCATTGATGGTCAGGAGAAACAAAGGATAGATAAAGTATTTTTCGTAATTTTATTCCAATTAATATTTCATGCTTGTTTCAAATTTGTTCTTTTCTTTAAACCTTAATGGAATGACTAATTTGTGTATAAATAAAAAATAAATAAAAATCACCCACTTTTCATGACTTTATCCGAAGAAAGTGAAAGCATTATTATGAATGTAGTCATATATAACGAGGTGAAGATGTAAGATTGCATGCACACTTCCCAATTCACCACCGATTACATTATTATGATATGCGAAATTGAAGTGTATTATATACAACAATTTAGTTGGGACGTGAGACATTGGAGTGAATTAAATTGAAGAGTTGAGAAAAAGTGAATTAAATTGAAGTGATGAGTTGTTAGTTGGCCTAGCCATGACATCTTGTAATTCACTTTGGTTGGGACTGTGAAATTTCTCAATCCCGACTACACATTATTTTGGATTGTTCTGTCAGAGAACGTGTTTTGTTAACATAGACTCAGTTGCACTAAGAATGATGGTTCACCAATTGTTAATACATTTGATGGGTAAGAGAAACAAAAGAAAAGGAGAGTATTTTATTAATTTTATTCCAATTGTTTATGCATACAACTTTTATCAAGAATGGGACACATTGATAGGGAAGAAGAGAGAGTTTGTAGTGAGCTGTTTTCTTTCTTGGCAAACCATAATCTTACATTATGGATTGATTGCCTTGTTAAACTTGTTTTGTTGTGTTTACAGAGCAACTCAGTAGTACATGGAACTATGAAATTTGGTCTCAGTAATGCTTCATGCATGTTACCATAGTTTTCACTCATCAAGCTTTCAACATGAGATAATAAATAGATGAGGCTGGATATGGCTCAGTTTGGTTTTTTCGTTTCCCATCTCAT